GAGTATCATAGAGATCATGACCACCTCACCAACGACTGCATCCAGCTGAAGAAAGAGATTGAGTTCTTGATTCAGCGGGGGCAACTACGCCATTATGTGGTGCAAGATAATTAGAACGGGGCTTACCCATCTCTGGCACCTCAACAGCAGCATCCAACACAACACTAATAACCCCTAGGGGAGATTAGGTTAATATCATAAGGATTTGCTGGCGAAGGGGAAACCAGCTGAGCTAGAAAAGAACACATGCATAAGGTGAGAGCCAAGGAGATTTTAGAGGTGCAACCTGTGACCAAGGTGCCTTGACTGAACATAGACATCACTTTCTCAGACGCAGACTTGGAGGGTTGCCAGCACCCCCACGATGATCCCTTGGTGGTAAAGGCCATCATCGCCAACAAAACCATCCATCGAGTCCAAATTGATAATGGGAGCTCTGCTAACCTCATCTTTACATCTACCTTCAACAAGATGAATATAGGTCGAGACAAACTAGAGCCAGTAAGGACTCACCTACTAGGATTTTCAGGGGAAAGGGTGCTACCCCTGGGTTCAATCCAACTCATGCTCACTATAAGAGATTCTCTTTGCCAATCCACTACTACAGTAAGGTTCCCAGTAGTTGATGCTCTCTCAACATACAACGTCTTGCTAGGCTTACCTTCCCTCAATGCCATGAAGACCATTCCATCTACTTATCACCTGGTTGTAAAACTCCCTATTGAAAATGGCGTAGGGGCAGTCAGAGGAGACTAAAGAATAGCAAGAGAGTGCTACGTGGCATCAATGAGAAGGGAAGAGGTTGAAGTTATCCAGTTAGATGAACTAGATATGAGGGACGAGCTGGAGACCAGGCAAATGCCTTCAGAAGAGCTAGAACTTATTCAACTTGATGAGGAGCCAAAGTACCTGGTATGCATAGGATATAAGTTGAACAGGGAATTTAAAGACCTTCTGATCCAATTCCTCAAAAGGAATATGGAGGTGTTTGCCTGGAAACAAGAGGGTATGCAAGGAATTGACCCCTCAGTATGAATCCGACCTTCAAGCCCATCAAACAGAAACGAAGGAATTGTGCCCCAGAATGCCAAAAAGCGATCAATGAGGAGGTCAGCAAACTTCTTCATGCCAAAGCCATCAGAGAGGTGGACTACCTAACTTGGCTAGCTGCTTGATTATTTTCCTTGTTCGCCCTAACCTCTAAACATCACCTTTTATCATGTATAGTATATGGATAAAGGGGAATGTCATTCTCCTATGGGTGATGTCAAAAGAAAGGAAAAGGAGATGGAGGAAAATGAAATGATGGTAATGTGACGTATAAATTAACAAAAAATGTGTGTGTGTACAAAAGTGTTCCCCAAGCGCAAGGAGACTTTTGTGGGTCGTGTTTTACTTGGTGGTTTTTGTTTTAACTAAAAAAATTTGTGTATTCTAAAATAATGTCATAAGTTCATCGAACAATGCCATTTGTTCTCCAAAATTGTACAAACTATGCACATATATCCATTAATAATACAACCTATCAATAATGTGGTTGATGTTCATAACAACATAGAGGTTGACCACATACACAAACTTTATGGAATAAAAATGTCTAACGCATCATCATTAAAATCTAAAAAATCAGAAAGTTCAGGATCGGAAACAAGTAACGGAACAAATAAAATTTTAATCTCGGCAGAGTCACGATCGAAATGTTCAATTTTTGCATACTCGATTGTGCTTGTCTTCTAAAGAGTGTAAAATATAAATGGGTTCCCCAGCGCAAGAATATATTATTTAGCAACTCGGTTGATTACCGATGTCATCTCCTCAGGAAAAAAAAAAGGTTAAATTCGATCGGTGATAGACAAAGAAAGGGTTTTCGGAATGGGTAAACTAAATAACAATAATTAAACAAAACCGGTTAATTGTCAGATCTCATCCCACCGTGAATAGTAATTTTGAACTAATCCTATCACTCACTTAAGATTGGAATCAAACGCACTAAAGTGGAAAATATTCAACTAAAACCAATGAAGGTGACAAAGGTGTATTCAAATTGATTAACAAAATACCTAAATCTGTGGAAAACCTCTATTTAGGTCAAAATCCCAATTAACGGATGAGATTCTCTCATTCATTCAAACTAGAAAATGACTACTCACTTATTATGGAAGTAAACAACAAAAGTAATTGAAATAAACATCAACATAATCGAAAGAGAAATAGAACTTGAATCAAAATCACAATAGAAAGTAAATAGTTTGAATTAAATGCAAAGAATCATAAATCGTTACATTAAAGATAACTTGCAAGAAATTAAACAACTAAAAGTAGAACAAAATTGGGAATAGAAAACAATGGAAAAACTCTTGAAGAACGAGTAAACCATAATTCTTTGTGGGTGAAATGGCTCAAAGAAAAATAAAATAATGAATGAACGATCCCTTCCTCTTAGCTTGGCCTTGATTTTTATAGTAGAATATTTGTTGAATATCTTTCAAATTATCTACTAATCACAGCCCTTTAAAATCTCAGCAGATAGACTTTCTAAAGGAGTCCTCGCAGCATGAAAACACTAATGAACTGGTAGGAAACACAATTCGACCTATCGATAGCAAAGTTACTGTTTCTCACATACTGGTAATTCTTCACAACTACTGGTAGAATTGCTCTCTGTTTTGAACCTACTGGTAACAAAGTAATAACCTTACGGGTAGCAAGGTTTATGAAGACATGGTGAATTTTATCACACAAAAAAAAAATTATTCCTATAACATGTGATTATATGTATGTTTCATGTTGTATTGCACATGTTACTTTGTATTTTAGATTAAAAAAAATAACTTTTTTTTATTAACATTAGCATTAAAGTAGACTATAGAAATTTTAATAGAAAAATTTAGGTGGTGTTTGATAAAACTGAAAGCTGAATACTGAAAATTGAATACTGAATTGTAAGTGTTGAATGCTGAATTTTTTAATTCGCAGACTGTTTGTTATCAATTGAAATTTAAGTTTTGAATTTGATCAAACTGTGTTGACAAATATGAGGAGCTAAAGTCTGAAAATTATTATTATTATAATTTTGTATTTTTCTTTAACCATTTCTCCGCAACTGTCTTATTCCTATCACCACCACCACAATAATGGTGGTGATAGTGGCAACGACGATGATGGTGGCGGCGGTGGCAGTGGCACAATTATAGTGGTGATGACAACGATTTGTGATGGTGATAGTGGTGATGGTGCAACACTGTGTTGGTGGTGGCGGTGACACAATGGTAGTGGCGATGGTGGCGATGGCGGCGGCGATGGTGGTGGTGGCGTGACATAATGATTGTGGTGGTGACAACGACACAATGGTGGTGATAGACTTCTTACAGTAGGGGAGAGAAAGTCATTTTATAAAAGAAATTTTTCACTAAGAAAGCAGTCTACTCATGTACTCCAGCTTCGCTAATGTGGTAATGGTGATGGAGGTGGTGGCGACAATAGTGGTGATGATGGTGGTGGTGGTGGTGGCAGCGGTGGCACAATGGTAGCATTAACGGCAACGATAGTAGTGATGGTGATGGTGGTGGTGGTAGTAGTGGTAACACAATTATAGTGGTGGTAGCGGTGGTATAATGGTGGTGGTGGCGATGACATAAAAGTAGTGGTGGCGGCAGCGAGACAGTGGTGGTGATGGTAATGATGGTGGTGGCAGCAATGGTAGTGGTAGTGGTGGTGGTGGTGGTGTGATGGTGACGGTGGCACAGTGGTAGTGATGGCGACAGCGATGATGCTAGTGACAATGACACAATGGTGGTGGTGGTGGTGGTGGTGGTGGCGGCAACAGTGATAGTTGTACAATGGTAGTGGTGGTGGTGATAGTGTTTCTAGTGGCGACGATGACACAATAGTGATAAGAGTATATTTGTTCATTATGAAAAATTGATAAAATCCTTAATAACTAATATTTTTAACATTAAATATTAAGTAGGTGGTTTGCTACTTAAAATTTTAACATATTTTTAAGAAGTGCTTAAAATATTAAGTAGTATGAATTTTAGGTTATCAAACGGATTTAATTTATTAAATGCGTAAAGTATTTAGTTTTAAGCCTTAAGTAGTGCTATCAAACAACCCTTTAGACGCACTCTGAATTTGAATAATTGCAAAATAAATAAATTTGTTAGGTCTCACTTTTTTGTTATCTCTTAAAAAGTAGGATTAAAATCTAAACGCTTGAAAAGATTAACTTTGGAGAGACATTAAAAAACAAAGATAAACTAGTTTAATACCACACAAAAAGCTTCAATTGAACTGACGTTTTTAAATTAAAGACGTCAATCAAACTAACGTAACTTTTACAAGATAGCTACAATGTCTGAATACATCAGTCCAAATAACGTTTTTATCTTGTAAAAGTCAATCTAACCGACATTTTTAAAACCATGTGTTTGAGAATTACTTTCAAAGCAGTTCTGTTTTGAGTATTAAGTTTGAAAAAAGGGCTGGGTTTGTATAAAAGCTCCATGCAAATGTTTGTTCACATTGCAACTGTTAAATGAGAAGTTATGCATGCTCGTGCTTTTACTTCTATCCTATAGTTCTAAGCGATGCTTAATGGCATAGTTGCCCTGGGTTGAATCAGGTTCCTTGCCAACATGCAGCACTGAATGTAAGGGAAAATAAGTAAACGAAGAACTCAAACTTCTGATTTTTTTTTTTTTAACTCGAAGCTACATAGGAGAGAGAAGAGTATTGTCAAGTCCCAAATCTTGTTAGGTCTATGATCCACAAAATATGAATTTCTGGGGAAGGTCTAGGGTATAGAATAAACGATAAGACAGTTTGGGCAATAAATGACAGTTAGTTCATAATACAATTGGACCTGAAATCTCATCACCAGATCTCACATTTTTCACTAAAAAAAATTCATATACATATTTGCATTACTTCGCTTGGCAATGCACCACACTGTTTGTAAGCAAACTATGGGACAATTGTAACCTATATATGGAATCAACTTAATTTATCCTTGAGCTATTCCTCCTTCCCCACCACTTTTTTCTCACCTTGTCACCGGTCCCTTCATTTCCTAGCTTGTGCAAGATCACCTTTGTTTCTCGCAGTCTTGCCCCGTAGTCCTTCTTCCAAGCTTCAAACATCTGTTTTAACCGTCTAAGCTCACGATCCGGGTCCAAACTCGCCTCAACCTTACCTGACTTCACCTCCATCAAGAATTTGGCATCATCACCAAATACTTGACTCCTTTGCTCAAATTCTTCAGCCATTCTACTTATAACACTCAGACCTGCACTCATTGGTCTCAATTGATTGCTCTCATGACCTCTGAAATTATTCCCCATGTCCCAACTAGAGTCTCTGTCATCATTTAAATTGACTGATGCATCAGAATTCCTCTCAGAATCGTCAAGGGCCAGGCTCTTCTTTGCAATGGAAAGGCTAGACTGTAATGATCTCATTTGTTTCTGCCACACTTCTTCCATGGACTTCATCTTAAGCTCGTATTCAGACCAACGATTCTCGTACTGTTGGAGCCGTTGGTGGAGTATGTCATTCTCCTCTTCTTTCTCTCTCAGACCAGCCTCAGCTTTAAGGACTCGGCGTTGTAGCTCTGCAAGGAATGATGACTTCACCAGGACCTCATCCAACTCATTAGCCTGTTGGAAACTTGTCATTGTCATTTCATATTCATATTAACATACTATAAATGTCTGTCAAACAGCAAGGCAAACTATTGTAGGACCAAACATACTGCCTATAAAGGTGGATGAAACTTCAGAATAAAATTCATATAAACCAGTCATGACATCCCTTAGTTGCACATGGAAGTGTTGCAACTCAACATGTCTGGTATGAAGGACAACAATTTAGCATTCTAATCGTGATCAATTGCCCGACTTATTTGAGCCCAGTATTCCTGTATATACTAGAACCAGCCAAGATGGTACATGGGTGTATGCTGTATCACTTTTTCTTATTAATATTTGCTCACACTTCTTAGCACATGCATGAGAGAGAGAGAGAGAGAGGACCGTAATATACAGATAATTGACATCATGGGTGACAAAGAAGAAGCAAACTAGTAAAAACAGTACACATAGTGACTCTCACTCATTGGCAGTAAACAAGCCTCAGTTGACTAATCTCATTACAGGATAGTCCAATTTGAACCATGGTGTTATAATGTTTAATAAGATCTAGACATATTGTTGTGATGATTCAACAGTTCCATTTTGTTTTGACAAAAGTTCTAGCCAAAGAAAAATCAAATACATGATATTTAGAAATATTTTCCTGTAACTGAAAAAATAACGAACACGACCCACGATTGATGGAAATGTGATTCACATAAATGATGCCACCAGTGGGAGTGGGTGGTCTTTTCTTATTTTTCTTTTGGCTGGGTGGGCTTGGGGTCCAAAAAACTAAATTCGCCAACAATTTCTCATGAACCAAATTAAGCAATTACTGAAGCATTAACCTAAAACAAATTAGGGGTTGAGAAGGTCCTAAAGTTTATCAGCAAATTATTTCTCATGAAACAAATTGAGTAGTTACTTTGAATATTTCCCTAAAATAAATATGCAAGAAGCTCGTCAGTCCATGAGGACTGAGTTATCAGCAGAATAAATGAGTACCTTTCTGGCTCCAAATTGAAGTAATCCTATATCTCCTGAGCATCTTCTGACTAACCAGCCACGAATAACTGAAAAGACTTGAGTCAGTATCATGAACAACGGAAAATCAATGTGGCACAAGTAACAATCTTACACTCGCAAGGTTTGTCAGGAGCCTGCCCCAGTTGTGTAGGGTTTCAAGCAGGCTTGCAAAGATGATTGTCCCCAATCCAAACAAGTTACTCAAATAAAATAATATCTTCAAGCATTACCAACTAACTTCTATAGTAAAACATAACTATTGGTTGCAATTTGTTTATTCATATTTACATGCCAAGCGAGTGGGGAGCAAGGTCAGCATTGAAACCAAGCCCAGGCATGTCCAAAACCTACTCAACTGGCCCATTGCCTGGCTTTTATTAACTCATCTATCAAGTAAGGACAGTAAAAGCAAAATTTTGTGATATAAAGGCGCTGAATATACAGTACAACAGATAAACAATCACCTGATTGTAGCAGAATTGATGCATGACGAGTGTTTTCAAAACTTTTCCTACCAATCCTTCCTTTTATATGCTTTTGAATAAGCAGAACTACTCTGTGTCTCTCTTGTAAAATGGCATATTCTTTGCGAGTTTTCTCACCACGAACAACTGTAAAATAGATTACAAATTCATTCTCCTTGCCCCTCTGAGAGAAATCAGGGCTCATCATAAAGATCACATGGATATAAAAGTTCAAAACTAAAAGAGACATACATGACTGAAGAGTAGCAATTCCTCTCCTCAGCTCCTTGAGGTAACACCGAGCTTGGTGACCTCTAAAACAGCTTTGGACACGCAGGATGCCATGGAGAGTATGGTTTCTTGTATCCTCAAGTACCCCAATCTGAAGAGATTGACATTACGAAAAAAAAAATTGCTCATGAAAAACACATCATCAAGGAGACACATTTAGCTACAGATGGATCAATGCATAACTAATGACCCAAGCTGGATTGCGCAAAACTAATGACAAATTGTGGAACATGTGCTTTGTCAGAAACCAAAAATCCACATACTTAAAATTCAGCTTAGTTCAAAAAGAAGATTGTTGAAAAATGCAAACGTTATCAATGAATATTTGCCATTGAGGGCTTGATTTATGCTGCCTCATTCATGTGTGTAGTTACTACTGTTTCACCACAAACTCTGTGATGCTCAGATTACAGAAATTCTTTATTCTTTTAGTTATTTTGTACTGATGCCATCCATATTGAGAAACGACAATTTTTTTCAGCCTTAATGAGTGTACAAGATTCAAAATGCCCATGCAAAGCCTACTCAGGTCAGGTTTGTCTTCCAACTGCACGAGTCAAGGGAGCAGGCAGACAAATGGCTATATAACACTACAGTGAACAAAGCACATTATTAGAAAACATTGTGATACCCAAGAAAAAGCATTAGAAATTACATTTTGATGGATTTCCATCAAACTACATCATAGACCAACGTACTCTATTTGTGAAAATCTACAAATGTATTTGATCTCAATTTTCTTTGCCTGCATTATTTCTGGCTCTCCAATTCAATTTTTGATTTGGGACTTTGCATTAAGGTTGACCCGGTGCATAACATTTGGCCGAACTCTTGCGCTAAGGATGTTCATCATGCATTTTGCTAAAGATGAATTACTGGTTTATTGAAAAACTCCAGGAGGGGTCCAAAAAAAAAAGAACATGTAATCTTCCGTTTCTGAGACATCATTAATAACTATTTACTCAGGACACATTGTTTGCCCACCTATGCTAAGGCTATCACCCAAGGTGGCTCAAACCAATCATAGGTGTTGGTAGGGGTGAGTGCGACAGGCCTAACCTCTGCAAACAGAAGCTTTTGTCGGCACAACATGGCTGCTTCCAAATCCAAGAACCACTGTTATCTTTTCTTTCTTTTTATTTTTGGCATCTAGATATGAAGATTTCCATGACTTGAAGGCCTGAGCTTTTGCAACTATCCTGTGCTGGCCAACACAAATGCATGCATCATTATTGCTTACAATTTAGCCGGGCGCGAGACAAGCTACAATAGCTAGGCAAAAGATTATTTGTCGTAATCACAGCACAAGTCCGTTACAAGAAACACTAAAGAAAAACATTAGAGTTGGAACATTAAAACTGATATTTGGGTTAGAGGGCAAGAGAGAAGAAAGAGAATAATCAGTTGTGTAGGCTATATTGCCCTACACTCTCTTATTAAAAATAAACTGACATAATGAGTAATTACATTATTACGCTACACTACTAATAATAATAAGATAGAACTCCGACACTCCCCCTCAAGTTGGAGCATAAAGCTCAAAGATGTCCCACCTTAGAACAAAGATTAGTGAAGACAGATCGAGCCAATGGTTTGGTAAGGATGTCGCTCAACTGATCACTAGAATTGATTGATATATGGTGTGATAATCTCCTTTTGCATCAAGAGATCTCGAATAAAATGGCAATCCAGATCAATGTGTTTATTCCTCTAATGAAATACCGGATTACAGGCAATGAAAATAGTTGTTGTCACAATGCATCTCCATAGGAGAGGGCACAATGATACTCATATCATGAAGTTAAGAGCGAACCCACAACATCTCATACGCATTATGAGTCATAGCTCGGTAGTCAACCTCTATACTCGAACGTTCAACTACATTATGTTTCTTGTTGCGCCACATCACCTAATTACCACCAATAAATGTACAGTAACTGGAAGTAGATCATCTATCAGCACGATTACCCATGGTTCAAAGTCACAATATCGGTCATTGTTAAAAGTTGTCTATGAGGGTATTTATATACTCCGAGTCTTGTTATTATAAATACATGTGGCAAAAGGGGATAACCTAATTCTCTCATTAGCTCTCACTATTGGCCTAAAATTATTCTCTTTCCCTCTACTTTTTTCTCCTCTCTCTTTCATAATTTAACTTGGTATCGAAGTAAAGTTGGAGGAAATCGGTGCAGAGGGAGAAGCTATGGTGGATGAACTATAAAGTCTAGCAATCAGACGCCTGAGAGTGTGCATTTCATCCCGCGAGAGAGCAACAGTATCAATAGAATGGCTCGAGAAAATCTCAGAAATATGAGCCAGAGATTGCACTGTAACACTACGGGCTCGGGTAGGATGACCATGCAATTTCACCAGTGCTCTCTAGTATGGCATTCTTTTTCACATATTTTAACAGATCACGATCAGCAACACCACTCTTCCCACGAGAATATCCCAAAAGAAACACAATTAAATGAGCTCGGCAAAAATTTATCCCAACCCGGATCAAGAAGATGAACAAATGCAACACAACTAAAGTAACGAGAAGTGAGTCCAAATGACAGTTTATCTAGATAACGCAATGAGAAATGAGATTTATTGTCCAAAATGGAGAAAGGCATGCGATTAATAAGATAAAACTAAAATAAGGGCAGAATCAACCCAATATGATTTTGACATACAAATGACGACATTTACGTTCAGCAATGCCATTTTGTTAGGAAGTATGAGGACAAGTAGTTTGATGGACAATGTCACAATCTGCACAAAAAATTTTCATAAATGAATGAATATACTCAAGTGCATTGTCAGACCAAAGAACTTTAATACGTATGTCAAACTGAACCAAAATTTCATTATAAAAGATGATAAAGACCTTAGGCAATTTAGATCGATTTTCATAAGAAATAATCAAGTCATATGAGAGAAATCATTACCAAAGATAATAAAATACTGAAAATCAGAAATATTCTTAACTCTTGCTAAACCCAAAATGTATGTATGAACAACATGAAATGGATTGGACGGACGACTAGAAGAATTAGGAGTAAAGGAACTACAGTGATACTTGCCTAATTGCCAAGCCTCACATTCTAATACGGAAGAACTCAAATCAGGGATAACTTGACATAACTTACACAAAGAATGATGACTTAGTCGGAAGTGCCACTGAAGAGGAGACACGGTAGCACTCAAGGCAGGAACAGAACCACCAAGTTCTAAATAGTACATGTCATTGTTCTTATGCCCCAAAACCAATCACCTTCTTCGTCTTGAAGTCTTGAAAAACACAAGAGAATGGAGAAAAAGTTATGAAATACTCTTAATGACTTAATTAGCTGACTCAAAGTTAACAAATTAAAAAAAAATATAAACAAACAAACCAAAGATCAATGGCATAGTAAGAGTATGACGGGGATTGCAAGTCCCATGTACTGGTCGAGAGGAGCCATCACCTAACACAATACGTGTGTAGAACGTAAATTGGAGAATAGGGACGACATACCAAACATATGAGCACTAGCTCCTGAATCAATAATCCAAGAGGACGAAGAAGGTTTAGTAACCACAAAGGCTGAGTTACTTCCATTAGCAAAACTGGCAGATGAAAGATAAATGTAAAGAAAGCGAAGATAAATTGTGAACAAGTTGATTAAGCTGATAAGAAAGATCATCATTAGAGCCAGAACTAGATGCAACTGGGTCATCGATATAAATCTAATGTACTATTGAACCCAAAGTATCACCAAAAGCCGAATTAGCATGCGCAAGTCTCCTATACTTATCCTAAAAATAATCCTCAATATGTCATGTGCCATCACAATAAGTATATTTCCGCACATAACGATAATCACAATCAAAATGATTACCACAACCAATACCTCGACCTCTAAGAGCGGCACTATAGGATTGATCGCCACCACAACCACCATTCAAGTTTGCCATTACAAAACTCACAGTCCACAATGCAAAAGAAACTGCTCGAGATGCTTAAATCGCCGTCAGATTGAAGCCACAAACCAGTACAAACACCGAAGGTCTGGAGGAGTCAAAAAAAATATAACACATAAAGGTTTTGGAGGCACCCAATGAAGACAAACACAATAGGAGTCCTCAAAAAAATAACATAGATATGCCAAACTGTAGAGCCGAAGGTTGGGAAGCACCAAAATACATCACAAACACATTAGAGATCACACTAGTGTTAACCCAAACAAATGCAGCACCAAATCACACTACCAAAAGTCACAAACCAACATAGGTGCCAAAATAAACACCAAATACACATATCGGAGCGGTTTAACACTCCTCAGGCGAAGAAACAGTGTTGTCGGCTCTGATTTTGCTCAAAACACACTTCAAAACCAACCAAAAAAGGCTAGGCAACCCATGAAGCTCCTCCTTAGTCCAAGTCGGTACCCATATATGCATATCGAAGCAATAAATCAGTCACAGAAGGTCTGAATCAACAAATCTAGAAAAAACAACCCTATTTTCCCAAAAAAGATTCGAAAATAGAAATGTCTATGTAGATAACTTAAAAAATTATCAAAAATCACCATAATTACGAGGGCAACTAGTTGACTCTGTAGGTAGTTTTTCCCCGCCGGAAAGTCACCGGAAAAAGCTGACGTCAGCATTTCAGCAGTGGCATCAGCATTTCAATGTTAATGTCACCAACGAACAACGGTTGGCAATTTTTTCCCCCTTTTTCTTTCATTTTTACGGGCCTCTGCCTAAAAATCTTGCTCGGATACCAAGTTGGAACAGTAAAAGTGATATTAGGTTTAGAAGAAAAGCGACAAGGAGAGAAGAAAGATGTAGAAGAAAGAGAATAATCAGTTGTCTAAGCTATGTTGCCCTACACTCTCTTATTTATAATAAACTACAATTATGAGTAATTACTTATTTCCTTACATTACTAATAATATTAAGATAAGAACTGTAACAGTAGTAAAGAAAATGGTGATCATAAATATTCATCTCACCTGTCCAGTTCGGAAAAACAATTTCGTGTAGCCAACTTGAAACATCTCAGGTAGAATACTGAACTGATGAAGAATTGCAACTGAAACACTGAGGGGATCTTTTGATGCAACGTGGTCTAACAAAAGAAAACCATACCTGATGCAAGAATCACATGAGGATGATGAAAATGAAAGAAGAAAGAGGAAATATAATCAGGTACTATAGAATTGTTCATAATATAGGATAGATGTCAATATAATTAGACCAGTAATCCATTTTTTTACATGCAGAACAGGTAACAATTAACAAGTAGCTATAGCTTTGTTCTCTTTACCTTCTAGCAAACTTCTGATGAGACATCCTAGTTGGGAATCCAGATCTTGATATTCGAACTACTTCTAAGACTCCACAACATCTTAGCTGCTGCAATACAAGTCCTTGCTCATACATTCCAGGGGATTGCAGATTGTTAGGCTTGATACAACGTATGAAATGCGGTGTTGTGTTCTCTAAACGTTGCATTAATTGGAACAGTTGGCCCTAAACACCAAAACAAGAAGGATATATCAGGGACAGAAGCTAACTTTGGCCCCAGAAAGAAAACCCCCAGGATATAGCATAACTTCAATTTACAGAGTACAAGGCTCAGTATCATCAACAAAATCAATTGCAATATCTTCTTATGGTCTCCATCACTTACATCAGAGAGAAAGGCAAAGCCATGTATGTATTAAGGAAACAGGAAGCCCACAATGCAAAAGTAACATCTGAACCCACACAAAACAGGTTTTGGCAGACTTTGTTTCAAAGTAACAAATCAACTAATAACCTCCAACTACTTCATGCATAAAAGCCAAGACTAAATTCTGACTCAATGTTTCTGTTGTTGGGATAATCGAGCAGATGAAGAGAATAAGCTCACGGTCAGAGGTCATAAACCATAAGTTGTACCCTTGATGAAGTAAATCTATATTAAACTGGCTAAAGTTGAACCAGGGAATTTTACGACCTTCTTGTCTACTACATTTATGGTACATAAAATTCATCCATCACTCAAAATCTGTGAACGCATGCAATTCCTGATGCACCTAAACCGAATCGAAGCTGAAAATCACAGCCACAAGCCATTGTTAACCTCAGTAAACAATGTAGGAACTAGGAACGAGTCTATTGACTTCCCTCTATGTCATGCATTTAAAACTTCAACGAATCACAGAGCATCTCTTTCCAAAACTTTTCAAAAATTACATTTGACGGAGTAGGTCTTCATTAGAAGCTGCCAAGCTGGTACAGAAAGCAAATATGAGGGCAGTTAACAGTCCCAAATGTTTTAAACTTTTAAACAACCTTCCTTTATTGCTTTCAAATCCTCAGCCCCAATAAAAAGGTGGCAAGCATGGATTGTAGAGTAGGAAAACGATAATGAAAATAAAAACACATTGTGCCCTGTATGCCTATATCAGATACCCATGCTATTCTTATTTACTGGATTACTGACCATCAGAAATTCCAAGGTCATTCATGAGACCTACAAAACTCTGGAATGTAAATGTACCTTAAATTTTGTCACAACACTCAACTTTTGGGAATCTGCTCCACCTGATTTATATAATGGACCAATTACAGGCTTCTCAGATTGAGTAAGCATACTGGACGCAAATGTCTGAAGTAGGTGGCATGTACAAGAAGACAGAAGTTGTATGGAATCCAAGTGCAATAAATCTCGATTCTTGTCCCGAAACCCAGTTGTGTCATACATAACCTGAGGGTAAGCAAGTTGAACTATAAAATATTATGGCAGAAAAAAAAAATTAACAGTCATTAAAAAAAATTTGTAATCGCTTTGATCAGAGAAGTATAAGGCATTTGACTTAATGACAAACAAGATGATCTGCCAAACAGCACATGGCCCAATAAGGTTAATAAATCAGTTTTTGCAAGGCCAGAAACCTTTGAGTTGTCTCCATCCAACTGGAAAAAACAAGGAACTAAACAGGCAGGGAGGAGGGTGAGGGGGGAAAATACTCAAGGATCTGCCAATGATGAAGTAGATACCTCCCCAGCATAATGGCATACTGTGAAAGCTTTGCCTCGTTCTCCTCTAAAACAAGAATTAGAATTCAGATGTTGCTTTAGCTTATTGGCAAATGTCAAGTCTGTACCATTTGGGAAGGTGGACTCTTCATCTAACAGTGACAGTAAGCCCAACGGTTTCTGCATGAAAGACAAGAAAAGAAAAGGTTCAAGGTAGACAATTATGGATAAATCAAACCTGTCCTAAATAGCAGCACGATTAAGTATATAGGAAAATTATTCCTTACTACCATTAGTTATTCACTGGTCACTTGAGTTCATCAATATACAAGATAGCAGATCGTGGAAAAAATCTAATATTCAAGCATTACAGGCTTTGAAGTAAAAAATAACATTCATTAATACAGATGTGAGATTTACTCTTGACTAAGCTAGATATGTTGCATGGGAAAATAGTAAAGGGGAGTTTGTTTTAATACTCAAGGGGAGTACATTTACAAACTTGGCATGAAGTCACCTATTTTACATTTGTTTATTTTTCACTAATTACTTTACTTGTGAACACCAACTAAGGGGGAGAACTTGATGTGATTAAAATTGCTATATCAATAGGTTCTTAAACATATGGGGCAATTTAGTTCTAAAAATGTTATATATTTGCATTTGCATGATGTACACCATGACTACTATAACAACGGTAATGTCTAGCACGTCGACCAAGAAATGTTTAAGATTCAAGTGCAATCTTAGAACATACGGAAAATTGATTTATTGTGAGAATTACCTAACCCAAACACTATAGTATTGTATCCGTGATCTACATACCTTCTCAAAAAGATTTAGACAATCTTGGTTGTCTTCAAAATCAACTTTTGTCCAGTCAATGCCATCTTGAATATATTCCTGAAAATGAATATTAAGTAATAAACAAAATAACCAAGAATTGGGTTATGCCTACACAACCTTTCATATGCATACCTAATCTTAACTAGTTTATATCGAATTGTGATTTAAGTATAGACCGTTCAATACCAAACTAGCCAGGATTGCTATACTCATACAGAAACCTAGGCCACTGACTGCACCATCAGCCAAATAGAAAAAGAAAATCACAAGCATAAAGATATATAAAAGCAATCAAGTCATGGATAATCAATCATACATAAAAGACAACACGATCTCTTTTTCTTATTAAAACATATGATTTCCCCAGAGTTTTTTTTGCCTGAAAGAGCATATTAAAAAATATTCTTATATTCCAGCCCCCAAAAAAATTAAAACAAAAAACTTCATATGGAGGCCGGGTACTAATTGTTAGTGTGACTACCATAATGCCATCCAGTAAAATGTTGTGCATCAGTGTGAAGGTAACAATATCACTATTTTGTGAAAGCATCATGAATAATACAGAGCTAAGAACTCACTTAGTGTTAATAGATTCAGAAGTAGAAATGTAAGTAGCTTAAATTCAAGTCACCGCAATTGGATCTGACAGTAATTTAATGGGACATTTGGGTTAAGATTTTCCTCTCTGACATAATATCGAGATCAATATGAAGAAAATAAGTAGAGGAAGCTAAACGTAGAGAAATAGTCATCAATTCTTTTTTCTATGATACTTTCTGATGCTTTTAAACCTATTTCAACCGTGGTAGTAAAAAAAGTGCACATACATCACACAGGTACTTAAGCATGCTTTCTTTACAATAAGTTTATTTGAGATTTATATGCTTCTTGTTCTCAGTAATCATTCCTGTAGGTTAATCATGTGCGAATGCAGGCTAGGGCTTCTAAGTTCTTATATTATCATTGAGATATGGCTAATCTAGCAAGTCTCCTATGCTACTCCCTCTAGTCGGTTAGAAATGCACCAGAAAGCCTATTTATATCAATTGTTTTTTACTTTTAGTTAATAACATTGCATTTATTTATTTCACGCATATTTTGGATATATACTGTATTGTCAAATTCAGGAGATGAGTTTGGTCCACAGGCTCCGAGTGTATAAATCAGGTGCATAGAGTGATGCTCCTCCATGGCGCATGTGAATTATATGTAACCTATAGTCTCTTAAATGTTCTTCCCATTCAGTGATAGAATTGGGTTCTCTTTCTGAAAGAGTATAACATGTGGTCCTCTATGACATAGGATGCCTTAACATTTGAGCGCATGACTCGAAGTTAACATTTTAGTACATTGTGAGTGCATTGAATAAGATCATGAGTAACTCGGTATCGTTTAAAGTCGACATCTGTGATACCAGACATATTGGCTTATCAAATACTAAATGAACCTTTGGTATGTTGAGTCATTTTATAGGTGATGGAACACCCATTCTCAATATTAGAATTTAGGTAGATGAATTATTAGGGTTGATTTAATTTAAAGACATGAATGTGGATCCGCTAGCTTGTTCTCTTCTTTAGAATTAGTTTTATGTGATTAAATACTGTGGAACATATCAACTATCAAAGATACAAAAATAATCAAAAAAAATTGATTGTATGGTTGACAGTAAAATTAGTTTCTTACACCAATTGACATGGCAGGGCCTTTTCATAATTTCAGCATGGATGACCAAGAATCAAAATATTGTTTCGAAATGGTCGAAACATTTTCGTTTCCAAGGAGACCGAAACGAAACAGTGATGGAATCGAAATTTTAATATTTCGAGATATTCCATAATGTTTTTAAATGTATTATAATATTTCAATACATTTGCACAATTGTTTTAGAATATTTCAAGGTATTTCAAGATATTTTGATATATTTCTATCAATGTTTTAAAAAAATAATTCTTAAATTTTTTATTTTTTTCATTATGTTTTCGAAACGGGTCGAAACGTTTCCGAAACACGTCGAAACGTTTCCATTTCCTAAGTAACAGAAACAATACACCGAAACGATATTTTGATCCTTATGGATGACTTACTTTATAATATTTTCACCAACTTGAGTTCAATTATTTCAATAGCCAGTGTAGAAAATGATTAATTTGATATTTGGGCAAGTCAGCTTGTTGACCATATCACCCAATTATAGACAATGAAGTGCCTATTTAGAACCCATATTTAATCTATTAGGAAACCAAGTTAGAGTGAGAGTAGCCATAAAAAGGAGGATACAAAGTTGGCCAGATGTGCAAAACTATTTCTAGCCTCTCCCCCCCTTTTTTTTTTCTATCGTCTATTTTGGAGACCTACTTCTCTCTTGCTTGGTGGATTCCTCGAGGACATAGGAGTGGAGATTTAAATGCCATTGAGCCAATTTATTTCTCCATCTTCTTGAAGGTAACAGTATTTTATTGTTCCATTATATCGTTCATGCATCACTAAAAAGAAAAAAAGCCAGGTTGTCATCGGTTTTGCGTTTCCACATGATCCATTTTTCCAACATCTCCATCTTCAAATCTCCCAAACAACAATATTTTTGAAGATGCAATTAATTATTTACACCTCATTGAGGACTATTTTTGTTTCCATTTTCCACAAATAGTCGCAAAATAGATGGAGTGATCAAGTGGCCCTTCCTGCGCCAACATACATCCAATGAAGACTATGGGATATTTCAAACCTAAAGGGAAATGAGACCAATTTTATTTATCATTGGTTTTTACATACAAATACATGCAGTCTTTTCGATTGAGGGAGCTATTATAATTACAATGTAAACATTACATGTGAACTCATAGTCTCGGATTGTCTAATTATCTCAGTGATTTGATTTGAGTAAATCATAAAGGAGATTGACAAGGTTTCAGACCCAATATCGCAGTGCCAATGCCAATTAGTCCCACTTGGATATTTTCAAAATTGTCTAAAAGCAACATAAAGTCTAGACTTTCTTTGATACAATGTTCTTTAAGTTTCCCGTATCCATTGTTGCCTCAGTCCAATCTTCACTGAAATGTTTGATTTCTTGACAATAAGTGTAATTTATTCATACCAAAAATATGTAATTGCTATCTCATTCATCCAATATTGACAATTTGATGACAGTACTAAACTTGCAAGTGCATTTGCATCTCAACTAAATATATATTTGCAACCTTTTTTTTTAGGTAAATACATAGTTTTGACTTTGATTACTCAAAAATTACTAAGATGAGGTGATTCTATGTTGCTCACCAACCAATTAATAAGGATATGATTCTGGAATAGTTCTTGGTCCAATTTTGTTGACAATTCAAGAATGATTACCAACTTTTCTATAGCAAATATAGTATTCAACCGATAATCCAAAGAAACCATTAAACCAACATCTGCCCTAAAAGCTTAAATTTTTAGAAATGATATAACTTAAATATTTATACTTCAACAAGTGCCAGTCAAATTTTTTGAACCAAACATGGAAATCGTTTAATAATCAAGGTAGAGGCAAGACTCGAATACATGACATCTTGCACCAATACCATGTAAAACCACAATCTGCTCTAAAAGTTTAAACTGTTAAAAATTGTGTAATTTAAGTATTTATATTTCAACAAAAATCTAAAAGCTTAAACTATTAAAAATTGTGTTAAGTATTTATATTTCAACAGAAATGTGTGAGAACATTCCATCTTTACCGCTAAAATAGTATATAGAATCATAATGGCCAGTTAACTCTTCAATTAAGTGTCACTTCAGCTCTGCTCAACTTGATTGTGCTTACCTTACACTAACTCTTAGTGTAAAATTAAATCAACAAACCAAATTCAACCGAAGAAACCAATGATATTTTGTATATTCCACTATATCTTCTTTGCAAGTATACGAGACATAAATGTAAGTTTTGATTACATAATTGAAAGATAAGAGAAAAATAGAAGAAAGAATGAGAGAATATTACTAAGGCACAATAGTTTGTGCAACTGCTCAACTAAGATACAATAGAGGCCCATATATAGCACGGCAACATAAAAATAACAGAAACGCCTATCTATCCCTAACATAATGTTAGTCTAGCACTCTAATATTTTCCTTCAAACTCATACTATGGTAGCAGAGAACATCAAGAATTTACCAAGAAGAAAACGAAAACGTGCTATGGTGTGAGATTTTGTAAATAAACCTGCTAACTGCATAGTGGAAGGAAGAAAGAAGAGACAGATGATTCCCAGCTAAAGATGATGTCTCACAAAGTGACAGTCAATCTTAATGTGTTGTCCGTTCATGGAAGTCCGAGTTGTAAAGCAATCGAAATAGCACTAGTTGACACAGTACTTAGGAGTAAGAGCAAACAAAGAGATGTCGAGATAGCCAAGTAGTCATCGTAACCAGACTATCTTAGTTGTGTTAGATGTTAGAACACAGCATTTAGCGTCAACAAAGGAACTAGAAGCAACAATTTGTTTCTTACTTTTCAGGAAATAAGAGAATAACTAAGAAAAAGACAGAACTCAGTGGTGGACTTGTAATTCATAGGATCACCGGCCCAGTTAGCATCTGAGTAAGCGTGGAGTTTCATAAAAAATGAGGAAGAAAATAATAGACTCTGATGCAAAGTATCTCAAAGATACCAAAGGGTACGGAGAATAGTAGCCCAATGAACAGTGTTGGCAAACAACATAAACAGCATAAGAGATATCTAGGCGAGTAACTGTAAGATAAACCAGACTCCCAATAATAGTACGGTAGATGGTAGGATCAGATAGAAGAAGAATAGAGAACATTAAGCCCCAAGGGTGTCTAAATTGTCCGATTATTTAATAAACAAACTCGCTAAATAACATCTGAGGCATATTTGGATTGAGCGAAAAGTTAGTCTTTGAAAGAGGAAGCAACCTCAATCCCCAAGAAATACCGAAACTAACCCAAATCTTTCATCGCAAAATAATCCTACAACTGAGTTTTCAATAGTTGTATGCCAACAATATTATCACTTGTAATAATTATATCATCAACATAAAGTAAAAAGCAATTGAGCCTAAAGAAGTGGACCCCAAAAAGAGAACAGAATCATGATCATTAGCACGAAAACCCAACTCACAAATAATTGAAGAAAACTTAGCAAACCATGCCTTGAGAGCCTGTTTAAGACTATATAACACCTTATGGAGTTTACACACCAGTCCACAACTATGAGGTAATCCAAGAGGAGTCATAAAGACTTCTTCAGTTACATCTCCATTAAAAAAGGCAATTTTCACATCCATCTGAGAGAGTCTCCATTAATGAATAGCAACCCCTGCAATCACAGTTCGGATGCCGGTCATCTTAGCAACAAGAGTAAATATCTCCTTATAGTCTATACCATTCTATTGAACAAATCCCTTGCCTACCTATCGGGTCTTGTATCGTTCCACATAACCAACAAACTTAGTATTAATTTTATAAACCCACTTACAACCAACTATGCATTCGTTAGAGGGTAATGACACGAATTCTCAAGTGCCAGTCTTATGCAAAGCAGCAAAGTCCTCATCCAATAACCTGTTTCCAAAGAGGATCAAGGATAACCTCTTTTATAGGAGATAGGCTCAGAAAGAGAATATATAGAAACTAAGAAAGAACAAAAATCAGTAGAATAACAAAAATTTTAAAAAAAAAAAAAAAAATCAATCTAGACATTTACGAGGCAATTAAGGATAGCGAGAAACATGATCCACGTTATCAGAACCTAATTGAGTGACAAGAGAGCAGGAAGACCTTGAATTTGTAGAAGAAACAACTGGGTCCTGCGAACATAAGTATGTATAATAGGGGGACGAAAAACAAGCAAATCAAAAGAGGAAGACACATTAGAGACAATCATATCACCAACATAAGTGTCAAGGGGAATATCAACCGGAGATGGGTCAATGTAGATGAGATGAGATTTATGCAAATACGAAGAACTAGATGGAATAGAAAAGAAGAGAATATGCTCCATGAAAACAAAACAAGAGACATCGAGTTTGTGTGTAACAAGATCATAGAAACGATACCCTTTTTGAACCTCATCATAACTAAGAAAAACACAGAGTGAACAAGCAGAAAGTTTACTACGAAAAGGACAACAAAACAAGACAAAATAAGTGCATCCAAACACACGTAAAGAGAAATAATTAGGTAGCTTACCACATAGTTTTTCAAAGAGAGAGATTCTAGAGGTGATGGCAGTGGGAATGCAAATAATCAGATAGACTGCAATAAGAACTTGGAACATTTGAAGACAACAAGGGAGAGCGTGTTGTCTCCATAATATGTCAATGTTTGCACTTTGCTACACCACTTCTAGAGGTGATGGCAGGGAGAATGCAAATAATCAGATAGACTACAATAAGAACTGTTTTCCTCCAAAAAGAAATTGGAACATTTTAAGACAACAAGAAAGAGTGTTGTCTCCATAACAAGTCAATGTTTGCACTCTGCTACACCATTCCATTCAGGAGTATTAGTACAGAAAGACCGACAAACAGTGTCATCAAATTTTAGCAAATCACAAAAGGAATTAAAAGAATATTCTCCTCATTTGGTCACACCGAAAACATTTAATAATAGATGAATATTGACTACTTATTATAGCACAAAAAACAGTGAATACAAAGAAGATTCAGAACGATGCTTCATTAGATAAACCCAACAATATCTAATATAATCACCGATAAAAGAAACATAATATCTAGACCCTCCATTTGTGGAAATAGGAGCTGGTTCCGACACATCAAAAGGTGTAAGAGAGCTAATAGAACTTTTATTGAAAGATAATGTAATGGCTAACTTGCATCCACTACAACTAGAAATTTCATGACACTTTAAGTTACCCAAACTACCAAGAGATGCTAAAAACTTCAAACAAGAATGAGACATGTGACCAAGAAGAAAATGTCGCAAATAAAAGTTAGAAAACCGTGGATTCAAATGAAAAGAAGACAAATCAATAGTACAAACAGCAATATCTGGAATATGCAACTTGTCCAACACATACAGCCCTCCCTTCTACTACCTATCTATCCCAATTAGTTTCTTGGAACGTGGATCCCACACAACACAATTAGAAGAAGAAAACTGGATTGAAGTCAAATAATTGACTAACTGAAATCAAATTCAAGGTAAGTTGTGGAATTTAATAAACATCGAGAGGTGTTAGTTGCGGAAAAATAATAGATACACTTCCTGTCAAAGACATTTGAGTACCATTGCCTGCAAGCAAAGATACAGATGGAGGAAAGAAAGTAGATGCAAATAATAAAAAATCACTTATCATGTGATGTGTAGCACCCGAATCAAAGACCCTTGCGGTTCGAGGTATATTTGAAAGGCCCGAATTGAACGACACTATGGACGGAGACACTGAGAGAGTATTAGACTAATGAAGAAGCTTCTGTGACTAGCCAAAAATCATAGTCAATTTTATAACAATGGACTGATCAGAGTCAACGTTTTCACTTGCCATAATTGTAGCAAACGGAAATCAAATAACAACAATCAAATCACCTAAACTAAATCCAATGTACAAAACCCAAAGCCCAAATATAAGTATCCAGCAATTAGCAAGCAAATAAATCAAACTAGCAATCCCAATAACCACATCAAAGCTTAGCAAACACCAAATAAATGCCCAACATAAAAGGCCCAAATGGCAAGCAAAGGTGCAGCAGGTTGTGATAAATGCCCAGCAAGACACTAATAAATCAGCCAAACAACACAGGATAATCACCGGTGCACACTCCTCTTAGTCAAACCAACAAAATCAGCCAAAGAAAACTTCAGAATTCAACTCAACTAGTGAAGAATTACTCAACCATGTGTTCAATACACAAAATCGCAGCCCATAGGTGTGAGAAAAACAAAAACTTTCAGGATGTTTGGACTCATTCAGTAGCAACAAATCAGTGAAACCCTTCAGGATGCAACTGTGTGTAACTCGCAGCCACACCGGCAAGCAATAATTTCGCATCAGTAGAGGGCTTCGCAACCAGCAATAGTACCAGCAGATCAGGATAGAAAACCCAACACAATCCAGTGGAGAAATTCAGAATGCCGAAAGAGAAATCATCAAGTTTTCGGCACAACACTCTTCAGGATGTTTTGACTCACTCAACCAAGCATCAATAACCCTAATTCGCACCTGGTAGGAGTGATTGAGCGAAGAAAACTCAAAGAAATCTTGCTGAGAAGCCAGATTGCAAAAATCGCGAAAAATACCTCAAAATTATTCAAAAAATAAAAAATCCAATCAAGAGACCACGAAATCAAAAAAAATAGCACCAGGTTAAAGCCCATGGAAAATTGATCAGCAAGGTATCTTCAATGGCTGTTGTATGATGATGTCTTCGTGGCATCATCTTCTCTGACAATGACATCAGGCCTAAGTTGAACCTAGACACTTCCTCTGATGGATACCACTGTGTTTTAAACTTGTATAGGATCGAAACGCACTCTGATACCTTGTAAGCTTCGATTACATAATTGAAAGAAAAGAGAAAAATACAAGAAATAATGAGAGAATATTATCAAGGCACAATAGTTTGTGCAACTGCTCAACTAAGATACAATAGAGGCCCTTATATAGTAGGAGTGTAGGACAACATAAAAACAAAGGAAACGACTAATCTACCCCTAATATAATATGCTAGTACTCTAACAATAAAAACATCAGTGAAAGATCGCACAGTCACCTCCTGTTCCAACTTGAATAAGTGACGGTTAAAGTGCTGCTGCAACCTCTCATTCGCATAATTAATGCAGAACTGCTCAAAACTATTCGTCTGGAAAAGGAAAGAAAACAGGTTATAAAGCAAGATTACGTATATAATATGAGAAACATAAAGATGAACATGAAAGACATACATCAAATGATTCAAAGCCATAGATATCGAGAATGCTGATGGATCTTCCAGTACGACGTTTGCCTACTGCAAGTGACTTGTTGATTTGTTCAACCAACCAGTCAAACAAACAAGAATAGATTGATTTTGCCAAGGCATCTCTTGTGTCAATGGCCTGAAGGATGGAAGGCAGAATTCACAATAAAGATAAGCAGCTATCAGGTGCATCTGATTCACTGATGCTAACTGCAAATTGCAATGACCACATATAAATAATTGTAAACATTCTCCATAGAGTTCTCACCTGAGATAAAGTTAACTTTTGAACAATATTATCATTCCGTACTTTCATATTTCGAGTTGATAAAGCTAGCTTTAGGTCTTCAATATTACACCCAACCAGTTTAGCAACATTGGATAGACCTGGAGATCAAATATCCAACCATGAGTAATATCACACAATCGTAGGATGCAGTGACAAGAAAGATGTGCATAAAAACCAAATAAATGCAAGACCTTTTTTTTTTTTTTTTTTTTTATACAAGACAGTCTATTATATTTATGAATAGACAATACAAGGTAAAAGGTTTAGGTTGGACAAGTCATCCAGCCCAAAATAGAAAGAAAAATGTACCAAATTAACAACAAAATAAAACTAGTAAAACTTGAGCTTTAGCTTCACATCATTCTAATTACAAATCAAAGACCAATATGCGGCAAACCAAAATGCAAAAGAGGGAAATTCTTTCAAATTCCTCAGTGAATGAGGCTCAAAAAGATCCTACAAATAAACTCGATCACCTAGTCCATCTACCACCTCACCTTTATCACAAAAAGATGTTAACATTCCTTTCCAACAAAATAACCCATAAAAAAGTAAAAAATGGCACAATGCCACAACGTGATCCCTTTTTTGTTTCTTCCAAAGCCCTGTGATGAGCATAGAAGAAAGGACCAAGGACTTGTCCACTCCATCCAGACACAAAAAAACAATCTATTTCCTAATGACCATGCAAAAATAGATAATCAACACTTTCACTACCATTAGCGTTATTCTTACCAAGTACAAAACAATTGTCCAAGCACTTGTACTTTAATAGGCATTTTATCCTTCCGTACCGAATGCGTGGGAGAAACAAAGGAGTTAAGGGATCCTCGACCAGAGACTCAAAGAAAGATTTCCAAGAAAGACATCAGAAGGATCGATAACCCAAGTTCTTCAATCAACAACTCGAATATTCAATTTGAACTCGTTAAGAATAGAAATAAGTGAAATAAAATCCGAAGTATCCCGATCACCAAGATTTCCACGAAAGCAAAAATTCCAATAGAGTGCACGAGAGCTAGACCGAATCAAAAAAAGCAATTGATGCATCATGAGTACAAGAGACATTACAAAAAAAGGAAACATACATGATAGTGAAGACTCCTCACACCAAAACATGAATCTATCGCCAGTTCCCACGACCAACTTAACATACTGTAAGAACCTAAGCAAACCCTGAGAAATAAATTTCTAAGAATATAAAAAGCTTCCCCTCTCAACCCCATTAGCATCCCAACTGTTGGCTTCCAAGTTATTATTTCTCTTAATAACTAAATGCCACAATGTGTTTTAAGGGAAATCTCCAAAGGCATTTCCCAACTAAAGCAATATCCTACAAGAAAATTTTCAACCAAAAGATCACCTTTAGATTTTGATTTAGATAACATCTCCCAACTATTCAAATGATTTTTCTTTCTCTCACAAGTCACAACTTCCCTCCCAAAGGAAATTTTGCAACTCTTCTTACAACTTTTCTTGGCATCCTAGATAGAGATAAATAATGAGTGGGAATACTAGACAAAACAAATTGGACTAAAGTCAATCTCCCCACCTCCAGAAATGTAAGATCACTTCGATCCATCCAAACTTTTTCCAATCTTTTTAATAACTAGTTCCGTCAAGATAAAAGACGATGGATTACCCCCAAACGGGCCTCAAATATTTCAAATGTCATTCCCCAACCAAGCATCCCAAACACCCGCCAACCTAACAATTGTATCTTCATAAGAATTAACCCCAACAATCAAACCTCTTGTCCATGTTGACCTTTAACCTTGAAACTATGCTAAACATATCCACTTCTTAAAATTTATAAATCCCTCCTCTTCCTCGGTTGAAAAAAATATGGTATCATTTAAAATTGCAAGTGAGAAAATATGATCCCATCTGTCCCAAGGACAAAGCCTTTTCCACTAAATTATGTCTTTCAGCCCTTGATACTAATCTATTCAAATCATCAGTCAAATGAGTAAAACAAAATAGTGACGACTGATCAACTTGTCCAAATCCCCTAAATGCCTTGAATCTCCCTCTCGGTTTACCATTGAGAATAACTGGGCAGTTCATTCACTGCAAATATCCTTTGATCCACTTCCTCATCCATTTATCTTTGTATAGTAGAACCTTGTAAAACTAGCACATAGTGATTCACTTCATAAAAACACTTAAGTTCAATGTGACAGAACCTCCATAGAAGGTGATGTACTTGCTCTATGTTAGCACAGCCTATAAAACATAAATTGGGTATCACCATTTCTTTGCCGTAGGACCATCCAGTCATAATTTTACAAGAAAATGACCATAAAAAATTATGCATTGTTTAAATACTCGATTCCCATACCAATAATTGATTTAATTGTAATTACCCTCCTCAATCTGACATAAAAATGGTGTAGGACCTACAAAAATTACAAATTAGAGCATCTCCAATAGTACTCTATTTTAGAGAGAATTTTTTTTTGAAATCAAGAGCATCTTTGATAAAATTTTGAAATAAAGAGTGATATTTTAGACAACTCCAATGGATTCTCTATTCTAGTACAAAAATAGGCTCATAGTCAATAGCATTTAATGAAGAATGTACATGTGTCATCTTTTCATTCATTAAAAATAGAATAGAGAGTAAGTTGGGCTCTCCAAATGTAGAGAGTTAAATAAGGCTCTCTATTTAGCTAGTCTAAATAGAGAGCCTATTGGAACTTTATTTTTTGTGGTCGACTCTCTACAATATAGAGTTTAGTGAGAATAAAAAGCCTATTGGAGATGCTCCTAGTACATAAACCTTTTCGTTCTAATCCGAGGGCCTGAAATAATATTTAGCAATACTAAATATGAGTATATTAATTTGAACTCCATATCCTATTTCTAGAGATGATCAGGCAACTTCGAAGCACCTTAACTAGTTTGCTGCATGATTTCAAGAATCACAGCACTCTGGTTCAAATGCAGTGGAATTTAAGTCTGCGAAACTTATAATGGGTGATATATTGCCCGAAAGGTCAATTCAAACCTCCCTCTATCACGAAAGCTACCAAGCACAGGTCTTGTCAATAATGACTACCCCGAAATGATAAAGCTCAAGTTAATGCAATGTAGCCACTTTCCTTGAAAGCAATCCTCCTTAATAAGTTAAAATTATTAACGATGTCCAAATTATATGATTTTCTCCAAATTTCCGTTATCTTCGCAGCAGGTTTCCTAGAATCTGCAAAACTCCTGATATTTTCTTAATCTAATGATATTGAGATTAAGAAGAGAACTCAATATCCCCAACCAAGTTAGAAATTGGCCCATGACAAAATAAGTGGTAGATATCAGCCAAATACGCCTTTTAATTTAGCACAGCACGCATTACTGTGTAACAAACTCTAATACATGGGATTGTGTGGCATAATTTAACCTGATTCTATTTAACCCTTCACAGAGTAACTAAAAACATTGTCACCTTTGCAATGTCTGAAACAGCCAACATAATAAATAAAACCTTAGAGATGATCTGGAAAATGTTAGAAGCTCATCCTTCTGCAAGACTGTTACCTTCGTCAGTCACGGCTTCAACATGGTTTTCATTATCAACCACAGTGAAGGAGACATTCCCTAGCCACAATACTGCAGCAAGCATCGCAAAAACACTATCTTGGTCCTCTTTACTAACATGAACGATATCCAGGGCTTCCTGAAAATGAAGAAATCTATGATTAAGTTCGTTTACAGCCAAAAAAAAGGAGGAAAAACAGCTAGAGTGTAATTCTCTTTATAAAACAAAAAGGAAAATTGCACTCTAAAACAGTTGGTGGCTGAATTTAATTTTTTTGTCAAGCAGATAGCTGGAAAAGCACAATAAATACCATTACAACACGGAACTGTTCAGCATCATCAACTCCAGAAATCGAGTAGCAATTGCTTTGCCTCAGATAAAAATACTCATCTGCACTCTTCAACTTCAATCTCTCTGTGTTGGCAAGCAGATTAGACAAATCAAAAGATGAGAAAATGTGGACGACTTGAGGTTTAAGCGATGTAAAATATGAAACTTGAAACCAATACTGTGATAGGAGACTATGTCAATACAAATCTACATGCCAACTACTATTCAATACACATGTGAAGCCATCTTCGGTTTACTTCCAACATACACATTCCCTGTGGTTAGAGTGATACTTTCCTATTATATTATTTTCCTATTATTCACCTTTTCTATTATGTCCTACTTTCCTAATATTGTAAATCTTCAATATCAATCTAATATAACTAGGTGATAGGGTGTTGACAGCACACAACCAGCATACCATATTGTTTCATAATCTCTCTTCTTCCTCTTTCTTTCTATACCTAAACCCTAATATTCAATTATTCAAGTTCCAACTTGGCCTATGAACAAGATAATTGGGCAAGCAAGCCCTGCCCTTGGCCAAAGTGCCTCACTCACACCCAATGATTAGGCCAACGCATCACAAATCAAGTTGTAGTCATCCGAGTTTGTTCATCGCCTGTTGTAATTATTAGTGAGGTGCCTGAACCTATGTCAGTGCCTTGGTGTTTGACTATCGGATTTTAGTTCCTTCAGTTCATTTAGTATTAGTTTAGTGCTTTTTCACCCAGTTTGATACTGGTTTAGTGGTTTTCATCAGTTTTAATTATGTGTTTTCAGCTAGGTTTAGTGTCGATTAGTGGTTTTCGACTCAATTTGGTACTGGACTACTAGGGTTAGTGGGTTTCATCCCGGTTCAATTATAGTGCAGCGCTTTCAATTTGGTTTAGTATCAGTTCAGTGGTTTTTGGCCCAATTTGGCGCTAGTTTAGTGGTTTTAATCCTGATTCAATTCTCAATCACTATTTTCAACTCGGTCTAATGATAGTTCAGTCATTTTTGGCACAATATGGTGCTAGTTTAGTGATTTTCATCTTGATTCATTTTCGGCTTAGTTTTTTTCAGCATGGTTCAATGCCATTTGTGGAGTTTACATCCCAATTCAATATTGGTTTTGTTGTTTTCTATATCGGTTCAACCCTTTTTTCGATGATTCAACTCCAATTCTGGTTAGTTTACCTTATTTTTTCCTATTGTGGTTTAATTTGTTGTTGTCAGTGTTCATTGTGGTGTTGTTGGTTGTGTTCAGTTATGTCAGTATTGTTGTCGATGGTGCTATTTTGTAACACCCCAGTTCTGTCGGGCATGTCACTTAATAGCTCTGATACCCACTTGTAACGTCCTAGATCCCCCGACCACGTCACTTACAACGTCGCATCTCACGAGCACATTATTGATGTTTTGATTATCAACATTTCACTTTCCTCAAACTTAGTTTTCCATTAAAGGTACAAATATATAGGTTTAATGTTTACAGCCTATAACAAAACCATAAGATACCATTTACAACACCAACCCCACTCAGTGGTTCTCAAAAGTTAAAACTTACAGATTTCATCTCATAACAAAGCGGAAGCACAATCTTTTTTAAGTCAACCTCCCTTGGACATTTTTACAAAATGTTACATAATAAAGGTATAAACATTGTAGTGTCTAGCAAATCTAAGCAAATAAAACAAGCTCAACTCGGGCCTGACCCCTCGTAACTAGTGTTTTCTACATACGGCATCATACCAGTAAAAAATAGAATAAATTTAGTAGGATGACCGACCACATGCTCAATAGATTAACTAGATTCTGCGAATAAACATGGTTTGAAAATATTATAGCATTTCACAGTGATTGGGATTTAAACAGTCTTTCGGGGTTTTAACATATACCAAAGCATTTCAATATTATATGTAGTATATAATCAAATCAAATATTCAATATCACACTTCAAACCATCTTAAAGATGCCGGTATCAAAAAACATCCAATACCCCAACAACTACTCACAATGTCACACAAGAACAATACATATGCTACCACACAAGGGTCATGACTATACAAAGGTCCAAATCACCAAGATCAACCAAATAAACCTTTTAGGAAAATTACACCCCAAGTAAGATACACTTCCTCCACCTACCAGTACTCAAGCCTGAAAGCCAACTATGTAAACTATAGATGAGCTCGTGGTTTTTAATTAGCAGGCACAAAATATCAAGTCAAAGCAATCTTCATGTCATCCCATGATCTATCCAAGTGAGTTTGTTAGTACTTTACCCACCAAATTCTGACTATACCTTTTAACTTAGATTTTACAACAAAAAAATTTCTCTTATCGGTTAGACTATACCACCTAAAAAAGCTTTCAAGACTATGCAACCCATCAAGGAATATTTCAAGATTACTATCCCTATGGAAATCACCAACCTCTACGTTCACCCCTTATCAACATCAAACAAACTAGGATCTTCTCGAGCTGGAGCTTAGGCAATGACTTATTAACAATGGATAGGTGGAGAAGATGAATCAATATCTACATTATTCTCAACCCCTTTACCCTTCTTATCTAACAAATAAGCTTCTGTAATCTCACTTGTGAAACAACATTTGCTTGGAAGCCTTCACTTTGGTGTTTAACTCGCCATTGGAGACCAACTTGATGGAAGTATTGATTTGAAAATGTTCAACCGTAATGGCTCGAGTTGAGCTCTAATACCAATTGATGCAAGGTGGAGAGAAAAATAAATCCGAGAATAAAAAGAAAAAAATAAAGAAGAGATACTAAATTCTCACAAGGATTAGGTCAAGAAACGCACAAATTCTCCACAAAAAATAAACTTCAATAATATCACTCTAATAAAAATAATAGGGATTACATCGATATTTATTGGCTAAGTTTCATAATAAAACAAAATTACTTTCTATTAGATAAATACTTATGTTACACTCCTCCCTAACAGTTTAAACTTTTATAGTAGATAGTGGTGTGATATGGTATTAGAACTAGGCCCTGAGGAATCAATGGGTCATGTCCCTTACCTATTTCAATTTTTCGGCCTACATAGTTGTTATTTGTTTGTCTATTAGCTCCACATGTGAGCCCAAGTCCCTCGTGAGGGAGGACGTAAAGAGAGTTTGTATCCCACATCGAATAATTAGGACCACCCCTCTTTTGTGTGGTTCATCCATGTGAGGAGGCCCAGTGGGACTCTAACACAATACCTCTAGACTCGAATACCATGTAGAACATCATCTCATATAAAAGCTTAAGCTATTAGAGAATGGTGCAAAACTCTCCTACTAAACTTGTAAAATAGTTTCATAATCAAACTCTCAAATTAATCTCCTATTAAAACCCTATAATAATTTTCTAATCAAACTCTCATTAATTCTCCTAGTCAAACTAAAATTCCTAGTCTTTCGTCTAGCCTTTAAACGTCAGTCAATTATAGTGGTCTAGCTACACAGTAGATGCGCCATCAGAAGACCTCAACTATTCTTTTGTAGCAGTGGTGTACTATGAGTTGGAGGGGGAGGAAACTGCTGATCCTCAGTTCTTGGATCATTCTAGATTGCTTGCTCTAACTATTAATAGTCATCCCAAAAAAATCCCAAGGTAGAAGTGCAACGAGAGACTTCCTAATGTTTTCTTGACTACCTCCAAGTAACAACTAATGGCAAGCCATGGATGCATGTTCAGGGTTCAAGGAGTTTTATAGTTTGGCTCTTCAAAATTGGAGAACGAGGAAGAATGATGCAATCCATAAGAAACTCAAGAAAGAGTAAATTCAAAGAACACATCAACCACTAACCCTCAAATCACACAACCAAGCACCAAGAACCTCTAGTCGCACTACTTTGGCTTGGTTTGAAGTAACGAAATCGAAGAAAATAGTAAAAAAGTGCCATAAATAATGTCAACCCTTATCCAAGAATATATTCTTTCTCCAATTAAATTATTGTGGTGCTACAATATGTTTTGAATCGAAAGCATGCTCTGATACCATGTAAACTTTTGTCAAAGAAAGAAGAGCGAGAGGAGAAGGAGAAAATATTATTATTGCTACACAAGTCTACAATGCAACTTAACCTAAAATACACAATATAAGCCCTTATATAATAGGGCAACAAAGAATAAAGTAAATGCCCAAACTATCCTTAATATTAATACTCTAACACACATAACCCTAAGGTGTTTGGATGTGTATGCTTTGACCATAATTTTCAGGCTAATGCAGACAAATTTGAGCCTTGGTTTGTTAAGTGTATTTTTACGACCTTCCTCCCAAAAAAAAAAAAAAAGTGTTTTATGGGTTATTCTTGCACTCAAAAGGGGTATAAATGTTGGGATCCGCAACTAAATCATTACGTTGTTAGTGTTGATGTTATATTCTTTGAGAGTTCACCTTTCTTTTTGGCGCATAACATTGAAATAGAGTGTGACAGTGCCAATCTGCCTCTTTTCATTACTTCTGAGTCTAGTTCCAAGTTTGTTGAACATGTTGCCAAACCATTACAAGTCTATCATTGACGAAACAAAGAAGTACAGGCTCCTCCAACAAATGCCATCACACCATCATCTACATTGTTTGAGGATTTTTCTTTTCATCCTATTGATTCTCTGGTAAATTCATCTTCTTCGTCAGAAGATTTGACTATTGCTCTACACAAATCCTAGTGTACTTGTACTACTCCTCCTATTCAAGATGTCGTTTCCTTGTCTCATTTATCACTACATTACCATTCATTTGTTTCTGTTGTATCTTTTGTAGTTGTACCTAAGTCCTATGTGCTGGCTTTGAATTCTCTCCGGTTGGCAACATACTACGGATGAAGAGATGATTGCTTTACAAAAAAAATCAAACTTGGGAACTTCTGCCTTTACCTTTTGGTAAACATGTTGTTCATTGTTAGCTGTTGTTGGTTGTGTGCTACTATTGCTCGTTTGAAGGCACGTCTTGTTGCAAAAGGTTATACTCAAACATTTGGGATAGATTATTTTGAAACCTTTTCTCTAGTAGCTCGTCTTAACTCAATTCGTATTTTGTTATTTATTGCTGCCATAAAAGATTGGTCCCTTTACCAACTTGATATCAAAAATAATTTTCTTCGTGATGATTTATATGAAGAAGTGTATATGGAACACACCCCCTGGGTATCTTGTTCAGGGGAAGGCTGACAAAGTTTGTAGGCTTAAGAAGGCTATTTATGGACTTAAGGGGTCTGCATGGGCATGGTTTGACAAATTTAGTACAGCGCTAACTCAATTTGGCATGAAGCGATCAATTTCTGATCATTCTATGTTTGTTTAACATAGTTGTTGTGGATCTATTATTCTTGCAGTGTATGTAGATGACATTATTATTTCTGGAAGCGATGAGGATGGTATTCCACAGCTCAATCAACACTTACATAAACATTTTTACACAAAGGATCTCGGTCCCCTTAAATATTCCAGGTATTGAAATTGCTCGGTTGGAGGAAGGTATTGTTTTTAACCAAAGAAAGTATGTCATTGATCTTCTTGGAGAAACTGGATTGTTGAGAGCAAAACCAGTTGATACCCCAATGGAATTAAATACAAAGCTTGGTTGGTAAGGAATGTGGTGAAGAGTTTCATGATCCTGAGAGATATCAAAGGTTAGTGGGTAAACTAATTAACTTAACAATAACTAGACCAAGGAGCAAAATTTCGTTTCGGTGCATTGTTTCGGTCACCTAAGAAATGAAATATCTTGAATATCTTGAAACAATTGTGCAAATGCATTGAAACATTAAAAACATCTCGAAACGTTATGAAACACCTCGAAATATTAGAATTTTAATTCCATCACAGATTCATTTTGGTCTCCTTAGAAACGTTTCGTACGTTTCGACAGTTTTGAAACGAAATTTTGATCATTGAACTAAACCAGATATCATGTTTGTTGTTGGAGTAGTTAGTCAATTTATGCAAAATCTAAGGTTGGAACACGGGGATGTCATGCGTAGAATTGTTCGATATTTAAAACATGCTCCAAGAAAGGGAGTCCTTTTTAAGTCTTCTAGCTCTCTTGATGTAGTGGGGTTCTCTGATGTTGATTGGGGGGGTGATTTCTTGGACCAACATTCAATATTTGGGTATTGTGTTTTTATTGGAGGTAATCTAGTTTTGTGGAAGAATAAGAAACAGAATGTTGTGGCTAACTCGAGTGCGGAAGCTGATAGCATGTGAAATGATGTGGCTAAATTCTCGATTGCAAGAAATGGATATGTCACTTGAAAAATCCATGAGGATGTTTTGTGACAATTAGGCAACTATGCACATTGCCTCGAATCTAGTATTCCACGAGAGAACTAAACACTTCAAAGTTGATTGCCACTTTATCAGAAATTTGGTAATGAGTAAACAGATTTCTACTGTTTATGTAAGATCTGGAGATCAAGTGGGTGATGTGTTCACTAAAGCTCTTAGTAGAGGGAAGTTTTCTAAGTTATGTAACAAGTTGATCATGATAGATATCTATGCTCCAGCTTAAAGGAGAGTGTTGAATTATAAGAGTTATTTAGTGTTAGGGGTATTTGAGTAATTAAGCCTTTCATACTTAAAATACCTAATCAGCCTACTCTTTTGGTTGTTGAGGGAGAGAAACAAAATTCCATTTTGGTGTATTGTTTCGATCACCTAGGAAACGAAAACTTTTCCACATGTTTCAAAAATGTTTCCAAAAATATAATGAAAAAAATAAAAAAAATTATGAGTTATTTTTTCAAAACATTGGTCGAAATATATCAAAATATCTTAAAATACCTAGAAGCATTCTGAAACAATTGTACAAATGCATTGAAATATTACAAAACATCTCGAAACATTATGGAATACCTTGAAATATTAGAATTTCGATTCTATCACTAATTCGTTTAGATCTCCTTGAAAACAGAAACGTTTCGGATGTTTCGACACTAAATTTTGATCCTTGGTTGAGGGTTTTAGGTTTCTACGCAGACTCTTCTCCATCTTCTCTTCTATCCATATTATCTTTAACCCTAACACGTCATATTTTATGTTTATATAGGGATTTAGTTTGTTATTGGTCTCTTTTAGTTATGTTTTCTTACTTTTTAAGAAATAAGGGTATTTTTGTAATTTACATAATCCTAGACAAGGGCCACAGTAGCTGTTCATGGGCCTTATTTATTAGTAGACGAGCTATGGGGTTTTATTATATGGATTTAGAAAGTTTATTTAGGTTTCTATAGGCCAAAATCCTAGTTCTCGTATTTGGATTCGAAGCAAGGGAGATCAATTCGAAGAAGTATACAAAGTTTTGGAAGCCTATTTGGGTTTGTGCAATGCAACCTAGCCTTAGGTGTCTAGTTCTTCTTTCCCCTCTTTCTTTATTTTGTTTAGCATAATTTGTGCATAAATTTGAAGTTCCTGCAAGCAATCAGGTCCAGAACCAAGCTAATTATCTCTCGAATATCAATAAGTCAATCCTAATACCCTAGCCTAGGAACACAAAGAAAGCCAAAGTAGACTAGTCGTAATGTTCACTTTAGCCCGAAAGCTCCAGATTTCCTCCTTTCTTGCCCTAATTCAAGTTTCAAATTCTTTTTTTTTTAATAATGTGTGTTATTTAAGCATTTAAAATATAATAATGAGTGTTATTCAAGTTTCAAATCCTAGCCTGTGGTATGCCTTCTATAAATCTGATGGCCCAATACTCAAACTTTTCAGCCACAAAACAAGGTTCGAACAGCCCCAAAACCTATTTCCTTCCATTGTCCATGTCAAACATGATATGTAGCTTATAGGAGAAAGACCCCTATACTTGTCCTGAATCACATTATCTGCTTGTAATAAAAAATGGAGGCTACCAGAGCAGCATGCAGATACCAACACACAGATGCTAAGTGAAAAAGGAAGAGGTGGGATGGGGGGGAAGCAGAATTTGAAAAAAAGTATTTGAGATGTCTGTGTCATAGATATTTGCACATATACCCAAAAAAAACTGATGAAAGTAGGATAACAGACACCTCTAAGAGTAGGTGGAGCTCCTGCACAAAGCTGATAAAATATATGATATGATCTTTCTCCTTCCGCACACTGAACCACTCTAGACTGTTCATAAAACAAATTAAATGAGTAACTTGGCTTGGGAAGAATGAATAGTCAAAAGCATACCAAGAGAACAAAAGAAATTACCTTTTCAAGTAGAACTGTGAAGAATTGAGAACCACGTTTGTAGAAACAGAACAAAAGTTTGCAGAATTTAAGTCAGTTTTTATTATATCAGAATAGTAAATAGCAAATAACAATGTCATTGCTGGAGCTCAATGCTATCTTACAAGTTTGAATATTAGCGCCTGATATTCTTCCAGATTCACTGAAGTGTATTTCAATCAGCTTCCCCTGTGACAAAATGCACTCATGTTATCACTACTTGCAAGAAGAAGAGGCCCAAACTTCAGAACTTCCTCTTAAGAGATCAATTACTGCCAATTCCCAATACGAGTTAGCCCAAAAAGGAACCCATTGCCTATGTAAAGAAAAGTAACTTACAAAACGGCTCGAGTTGTCATTTCTTAATGTTTTTGCATTACCAAAGGCTTCCAAAATTGGATTAGTTTTCAATATTTCGTATTCTATGCCGCTACCACCTCCTAGTGCAGCCAAATATTGCATTGCTATCTTTGCTGTCTCAGTTTTCCCTGCCCCGCTTTCACCACTGGACACAAATGAATAGAGGATGAGCAAGACATGCATTTTAAACAATTCAAAAGTATCTAGGACTTATCACAATATATTCTTTCCCATAAAATATATTTTTACATATGATATGACATAAAAATGTTTTATTTATTTATTTATGTTGATAAGAAACAACACTTTCATTTTACTGAAAGATTTAAATGTAGATAATTAGTGGATAGAAATCCACCTAAAAGAGCAAAAATTAAAACTAATGAAACGGAACTATAGAATACAAGCGGCTTGCCAGCTGTGTTGGATAGCTAATATGGAAGTGTCACGAAACTCATTGGTAACCACAGTTCATAAAGATGCCAAGAACTTCACTCTATCCCATAAAAATGCAATAACCATTAGGTTCATGTGTTTCGCATCTCATACTAAGATTAGAAAGTCAGTTTCACAAACTATAAAAAATTAAATCAATTACAGCCTTTTAAATCAGAATATAGCAGAAGGTCAACCAGAAGCCGACTCTTCAAGAGGTACAATTTGTTGCTAAACTTTGAAGCACAAGTTTAATAGGCAAGGCCATGTGATAGTCCAACTTCAGCTGATGATGGGAAGAAAATATTCAGAGAACTGGGCAATTCACCAATCACCCCTCACAAGTTTCAAATCAATGAGACCATCAAATTTCTTTATCCAATCATATTAACAATGCTTAAGCTAAATAGCAGCTTCAGCCACAAGACATGAACTCTCCTTGGCAATTACGTGCATAACTTTTATCTTCCTCGCTTATGGCTATAAATAAATGAATTCATAAAATGTCATCATCACCCAGTTTGGTCTAGCGTTAAAGGAGAGTGCTGGACGGGGTCAATCACGCACAAACACAACCATCATAATTATTTGAAGTATCAACAAAGAGATTTCCATTAGATTTAAACCCACAACCATATGATTGTTAAGTTTGCTAGTCCTAGATTTTACCATTGCACTAGACATTCACCCTTACATAAACTGGTAACTTTTTTTCCTTTTTTGGGTGGGGGAGGTAGGTTGGACCTTAAAAATGGGAAATTGTTGCATAGCAAAGGCAAATGTCATCTCAAGCAAATATACTACATAACAAGTCCCACGATGCAAACCCTCTACCATTACAACTAAATTGTCACAACATGTGCATCTCAATCTTACCAACATTAATTGCCATCTTATTATTTTTTTTTTTATAATGATTTAGCCTATGAAGTACAGATACACTAATAAAGTCGACGTATTCGTACTAGATATCGTATCGTATAAGATACTTGTCAAATATTTGAGAATACGTACCAAATACGCCCACACACCCGATAACAAATAAAATCTCTAGATACTTTGCCGATAGGTATCCACAAATAATATACTTTGGATATGGAAGTGCATACGTAGAGTAATGTGTATAATTTTTAATTTTTGTCCCTACTATTTCCTCTCAAATTTACACACTGCAACACATTCATAAATTCTTCTAGCTTTCAAAAAACATGAGTGTTTCTTACGTATTATACACTATTGCGTGTCAAAAGAGCATGAAATGAGTTTATTACACCATATCTATTGGCAACAAGAATTTCCAACAAGTTAAATCTTGGTTTTAAATTCTTTAATTAGTCACATTCACTTTGTGGACATACCATAATGAGACGTTAATACCATTTATGACATAAAAATTACTAATTTTTGGTATTATGGTTAACCAATTCACTAAAGATTAAATGTGTTACTTCTTTAGATAATAGTAAAAACTAAGGGGAAACTTCAGTTTACCCACTCGTGGTTAATCTCTTTTGCACTTTACCTCCCTGAGCATTGTAAATAGCATATAACCCCCATGTGGTTAGTGGACCTAAGTGCACCCTTAACTCTGTTAACAAAATTTGTTAAATGACTCTAATACCCATTATTCATCACATCTTTATTTGTAATTAATAACTCAAGCTCCACTCTCCTCCACTCCCAATGACCTGCACTATTCTAAACACCAAGGACAAAATAACAAGTTGAGTCATCAAGCTTCCTGGTCTGCCAGAGGCATTCTTGGTCTCCACTATCATCAATGCATTCAAGGACTTCAACCAGTTTGTTAATTTTGTCTCTGTCCAATCCCTCACAGCCTTAACTCTTCTGGCAACACTTTTCAGCTTGGTCTGGGTGGGGAAGTGGTGGCTGTGCTTGATTTGGGTCTTGGTCATGGGTGGTGTTTGTGGTGTAAAATGAGTTGGGTTTGATTGTGAGAGGAGGCCATGGTGTTTGTTGATTGTGGAAAATGATTTAGGTTTGATTATAGATGGTCAAAAAATGAATTGGGTGGTGACCATAGTAGTTGTGGGTGGTGGTGATACATGTTGCGAACGACGTCTATGGTTATCTGGGTGTGGGTGGAAGGGTTGGAGAACATGAAGAAATTAAGAAGGAAAAGTGTTTAGTTCTAAGGGCTTTTTTGTCTTTTCAAAATGTGTTTTATAAACCAATTCTTGCTATAGGCACCTCTTGCGCACACTGTTAAAATGGATGAAAGTGTAACAGTACATTTTAGTTCACTAACCATGAGGGAGTTATGTGCTATTTCTAAAGCTCTGGGAGGCAAAGTGCAAAAGAGCTTAACCATAAGGAGATAAACTGAAGTTTTCTCCAAACCTAATATACATTCTATTATTATAGACGTATCATGGGCGTATCCGTATCTTTATTTTTTAAGTTTTGTTGTATCCCTGTAACGGTTTCATATCACACCTATATCTCGTGTCTGCAATCCTGCTTCAACTCCTGTAAAGGAGTCTATGCTAATAAACTATTCTTAGCCTTTCAATCCCATCAAATATAATAATGTTAACGTTAGATATTAACCGAGACATGTCAAGTGTCCATTGCCAACTAAAGGCAAAAGAGATGATGATGACAAATGACGACCCCAATGCAACCAGAGCAATTGCTAATCTTTAGAAGATTCAATGAGAATTAACACCAACTACAAATTGTAGTATACTTAGAAAAATACAAAACAAGCTTATATATTCTCCTATGCTCAATTGTTTTGGATAAATTATAGTGACATCTGCACACATTTAGATTCATCGTCCAGCCACCACCTGACACTTCAATACTGACACGATGCCCCCTGACATTTCAAAGTTGTAACAGCAAAACCCCTTCCGCCCCCCAAAAAAAAAAAGATAATAACATCAAAAATAATACTCAAAATGCCACCTAGTCCCCTTCATTAGGATAGATCATAATGGCACCCTCACAGTAGGATTTTGTCTCTCTCTCTCTCTCTTAGTGTATGTGTGTGATGAATATTGATCTATTATCAATTTTGACCAAGGGTAACTATAAATCATTTCTCAATAAAAATTTTCAATTGCTATCTCATTGTCATTTATGAAATGTAAAGGGGTGGCCGAAGAATATTCCCAAGTGCAGTGGGTCTCATTTAATTTACCCCAGATTTTGTTAATCCAACCACTGGGAAGAAATGTTCCTTCTTTCACCTCAACAGCACAACTGCACAAAAATTTATTAACCACAAAACCATCTAAATGGCTCCTACTAAACTGATTATTGAAGAAACTAATTAGACACTACCCAAAACAAAAGAGATTATGTTACAGTAGCACTGACATGGCGTTGGCATCTGACACATACATGAGACACCGAAGGACTAATCAAAAAAAAAGCTGATGCACAAAAATTTATAAATAATGCATACCACTACACCAAACAGATGTACCAAAAAATGGTAATCCATTAGAGTTCTTCCCATATGTCCTGGGATATATCATAGGATACTATTAACCAATAAATGTAGCATATATTAGTCCCCTAGAGTCCCAGCCACCCAAACATATTTGAAAGGACCATCACGAATGAATAGACATCACGGCATGCTTCATGCATGCATGAAAAAATATATATGTTTCAAAGAAATATCCGTAGCTTTGTTATTTTTCTTAATTACCCAGAAACATGCAAGTAAAAAACAGCTAGTTGCCATTACAGAAAATATACAAGAAACAAACATTGAACACACATAAAATTTGAAGTGGAAATCTCACATTACGACCCACAAGCATCAAATATTAGTTATGTATATAGAGGAACCAAACAAACTGAGAAAAAAAGAATATGAAATGAAAAAAATGTCAAAGTGAGCAGTGGTCAACTAACCTTATGATGATAGATTGGTTTACTTCATCTGAAGAAAAAAGAAGAAAAAAATAGGTGTAAGTATTCCTTAAAAATGGTTGCCAGAGAAGGATTAGGTGTCACTAGTCAATCTGCCAAAGTTATAATAAAAAATTTGAAACACCTCTGATCATTTCCCGAATGGCTGTATCTGTAATGGCATATACATGCGGACTATCAATAGATTTACGCTTATAAGCTTCAATGTAATCACTTCCATACAACTGGACTTTCTTAAAGGGATTTATTGCAACCAAAACTGGCCCTGCTTTTGTCTAGAACAATTGTAGAAGAAGAAAATCAACAGATTGTCAGACAAACTAGCAGATTTAGGAGCACATTAAAGATAAAACTTAACAGTAAGATGGGTGCTTACATAAATCATATCTCGATTGTATCTATACTGAAGATTGAACAACACTGATGGTTCATTTAAATAACTTAGTTGCATGAGATCATCTACTCCATCAAGAATATCAGGATTCGCCGGAAACAGCCTTCCGGAATTCAACTTCAAAATCTTATATTGAAGAACAAGAAGTCAAAAGCGAATGACGAATCTGACAGCATTACACAAATAAATATGCACTATTTACAGGAGTATTCTTACTTCCCCCTCCGGCAATGATATGACCGATTCAGTCCCTGAAGTTGATAGAACCTTTCCCAGCTCCCAGTTCCCATTAGTAAGTTGAAACCAAGATTGAAGCTTCTGAAACAATTAACTTTAGTAAGTAGATAATACAATCAATAAATAGTTGACTGATTATGTTTAATTTAAACCATCAATATTTTGGATACAGCCTGTACACTGGGACACAAAATTTTACTAAAGCAACATTTTGCCCCTCATGCCAATGACTAGGGGTAAAAAAATGGCAATCTAGTACACAAGGGTTTAGCCATTATGGGATATGGGAAGGGTTAGATGCCCACCACCTTATGCCGCTTATGGAGAGAATATTTCCCTAACCTGAACCGTAAGCTCCCAGATCACAATAGAGCAACCTTACCACTTAGTCAAGGCTCATCCTCAATATTGAGGGCATTACTAATTTTGCCACCACCAAGCCATCATCAGATATGCATAGTAGTGGCATAGAGATCCACAAATTTATCTTTATTTCAACATAATTATCCCACATTAGATCCACGAGATCACACTCACCTAAATTAAGTCATACCTATTAAAATGGCAAACAGAAGACCACTTCTAGTTAACTTTTTCACTTACGAAAGAAAACACACCAGCCAAGCCCACATTGACCCACAGATGCAGAAATTACCACACACCAATGCTGAACAGAAGCTATGTTTCTCAATCAAAATCCTAAGAAACTTGCTAATATTATGCATTTGATAGCTCACAGTTTAACAGAAAATATGCCTCTTGATAGAGCACAGTGGAAAAGCAAGATTCATGTAGACAACACTAACTTGTTGGGATAGAGGCTTTGATGAATTGAGTTGAGTTACGTCAACGGACATAGGAATAAATATGAGACATGGCTGCAAATAGAGTGAAATACAGAAAGGGAAACAAAGCAAAAATAGTGTAAACAACCCTAGTGATTAAGTTCAATTATTTTTTAATGACTTCATTATTTGTTTTGACATATAAGTTTCACCTCGACTCAGGCTAGCATTTTTTATATTTTCAAACGATTATAGTTTATAAAATACCAATTGGAAGACGTTTGCAGAACTCAAACAAGAGGACAGCACCTATAGCTTGAAGTCAAAAGTGGCATTTATGGTAGTTGGAATTCACCTAAGTTTATAATGAATTACAAACCTTAATAGTTTTTTAATTTCAATGGTCTAGGGAGAAATGATATGCTTGTAAAGAAGGGGAAATGCATTCTGATTTATTAACAATGCACAGATAGAATTGAGACTTTTTCTGGATTTGCAATCATCTATACTACTTAAAATGTATAGATCCCTGAGAAACTTATGATCAATTGAAATGCACTTGTAAAAATACCTTATGACACTAATGTGCCTGCATATTTATTAACATCATTTAATAACAGTACTATCCTTTAAAAACTCAGATTCGCCCAAGTATCACTGTGTCTTTAAATGAATATACTAGCTTCCCCTACTATTTACAAATTGGTAGCAAATTCATTTTTTCCCCAATGGACACGAAAGTGTTATATGACCTTTGCAACAACACTTCTGTAAATGCCAAAAATACTCTTTCGTGAAATGCGTTGAACAGACAATTATACCCTAAAATACTTACTAAATGATATAAACGTCATTCTTTAATAAGACGAGGTGGGTGCATCGCAATTTTGAATTTCAACTGAATGCTTATTTGCATTTATTGCTTACTTCTCTCACATATTGGGTCAATGTTTACTTGAATTTGCATTTTTGGTCTATCATTCAAAGAAAAATCATACTCACTTCAAGGTGAGAGAGCATTTAAATATCTAAAACTCACTTCGCTGTGTATCTTAAAAAGATAAAAAAGTTGCATTCATTTGAGGTTAGGCCATGTCCTAATATGTCTGAGGAAGGGAAAAACTTTGCAGTAAAGTTTAACCTCAAGAAAAGTATTTTTTTTTTAAGAATTTTAAAAATCCCTATAAATAATCAACATCAACAAAAAAATTAAAAAAATTTGAACTTGGACTATACAATTTTTATTTTCTTATTTACCAGATTTATATTGTAAATCTTTTTTTCAATTGCATAATTGCGTGTTCGTGATATAAATTTAAACTTGGCAAATGTAAAATTTTAATTACACATATATCTTACATCTATCAAATAAGGAAAGCTAGGAAGTTAAAAATGTACCCCCAATAAAAAAAAATAGTTCAAATCTATGAAACACGAATACTTCGTCAAGATCAATGTACTCGTATCGGATACAATACTCGTCGAATATTCAATGATACGTATCAGATACATATCATTCGTATCCGATAATTAATAAAATATGTGGTTACTTCACGAATACTTCTAAACATGGAACAAAATGTACAATTTCTAATTTTAATCTAAATCCTCTCCTTTCTAGTTCACATACAATATAAAACATCAACAAAGTTCCATCTGTTTTTGAAGACACGGTATTTTTTAAGTATTATCTACTTTCACGTGTCAAAAGAGTATACAAAAATAATTTAATTACACTATAATCTTAAAAACAAATACTTATAAATAAACCAACTAGTTAAATGTGATTTTAATTGACCATGTTCATTTTATGGATATATCATACAGAGATGATATTACATCTTTTTCAAGGTAAAAATTCTTAATTTTGCTTACTACTCTCAAAGAATTATTGAAAATTTTAATTTTTAAATCATTAAATAATAGTAAAATATAAAATATATTTTATTATAGACGTATCCTCGCCGTGCCCATATCCTCTTTTTTTTTTAAGTTTTATTGTATCGATGTATCCATATTGCATCGTACACGTATCACATTCGTATCCATGCTTCTTAAGTTCAGATCAACTCAACTTCATCTCAACAGTACAAAATCACTCCAAGATTTCACAATCCCGCCCATAATTTCATAAATACCCCCTCTTCTCTCCCTTTCACATTACATGTCTTCTTTTCCCCCATACTTTCCTTCCCTTACCCCACTCTCAATCTGCTTCTTCTCTCTCCCATCTCCCCTTTCTCGCACAACACCTCCCAGCCCTACCTAGTGTCATTATTAGCCATATTCTAGCAAAGATGTAACTATCGCTCCCTCTCCCTCTCTCTTCTCCCTCCACGTATTCTCCCTCGCTCTCTCAACCGCCATCTACAACCGTTATTTCTCACCACTGCCCTAACCCTCCTTCCTCTTATCAGCCATAAACCCCCCTAACTCCTTTCCTCCCCTATCGTAGAAACACACCCCCACCCTCTACCTTTCCAATTACCCACCCCCAAATCCTTATTTGCCACAAACCGCCTCCATAGAAAACCTCCAATCAAACCCATAAACTCTTTCTCTCTATATGAGGAAGGTGGTAGATCCCTATAAACTTTGGGATTTCAAGACCGTGCATATTGGATTTGGGGTTAAGGTTGCAAGAGAATAGGGTTCCTCGAAGAAGGTGGTGGGATTTAAGTTAGGGATTTGGTGTTGGTATGACGAGGGTGCGATCCTGGGGTAACAACCACCACCACCCCATCGCCATCACCATCGCCACTCAAATGATGACTCTCTCCTCTCTTTTACCCTCTCCACCTCACATCTCTTTTTTCCTCTCTCTATCATCTACTTATGTGGAACTATTCTAGCGAATTGAAACCCCTAGAAACTTTTTGAATCCCCGATCCAATGTCATCCCAGTCATGGTCTTTAAGGTTTGTCTAAACTAATCATTTTTTGTTTGGATTTTTGATTTTGAATTAACCATGGTTCTAATATGTGATTGGTTTTGAATTGGTTAGTTTGTTTTGTTGGCTGCATTTTTTTGTCAATGTTTTGAGTGGAAGTTTTGATTTTGGATTGATTTGTTTCATACACATATTTTTGGGACCATTTGATTGATAACAAATGAAATATGATGAAGCTCCTCTCTGGAGATATTTTGATGTTAAGAGCTTCATTCCAAATGGTAACCATTTTCCATGCTGTTGTTTTAAATTTATAAACATGACACTCATTATATTTTGCTAGTCCTCCATAAAATATTGCATCCATTCTCTATGTTTTTTGGGGAGGTCTCTTTATTTTGTGCTGAAAAAATCTTAGTATCCAATGGGGTAAATTATGACAGGTGTGGTTGTTGAGCACAGGCATGGCAAAGATGTTGTTGATCATATGAAGGATACGAAGAACAAACCTAGATTATCTCCCCTATTTTAGGTATATACGTATAACAATGTGTGTGTGTGTGATGATAAATGTGCATTTTGATTTCTTGGTTAATTTTGGTTATGGGGTTTTGAGTAAACTGTTTTAGGCTTCAAATTGCATGTGCAGTTATGGGGTTTTGAGTAAACTGTGTTAGGCTTCAAATTGCACGTGTGTACTGGGTTTTGATTAAACTTTGTTGAGCCTATGCGATGCATTCACTTCAATTAAGTATGACCTAATCTTGTATTTTTACACCACATAACTGTGTAATGCCTGTTATTTGATTATCTCACAGTAATATGTAGCTGATGCAATCAAAAGTGGAGTTCAAATATGGGATATATATATTGTGTATGTAGCTATAGGACATATTTGTCATGTTAAGACATATCTGTCATGTCATTAAAATTTAGTACCAGTTTTATGCATAGTTGTACCTATTATTTGCAAGCTGTGATGAGTCAAGTTCCTTTCTTTTGGATACTTTAATAAGTTTAAAGGCTAAAGTCTTCCTAAAAGGTTAAGCATAGTTTTTTATCTATAAATAATACATTTGTTTACTTTTCAAACTATAGGTCATTATGTTTGGAGTGCAGCCAAGGGGAACTTCATGGTTGCGACCGAGATACTTGAATCTAGTTTTCATGCCCTACGGGAAAGTGAGTGTGGTGGCATAGTTTCAATACGTCCTTTGGATGTGATATTGTTTGATTGGGTTTTCTTTTTATTTCCCAGTTTTAAATATATGAATCTTGCATGAAGTGAAGAAAATAGTATTGTCAATCTATCTAATACTGCAGGTTTTAGTTCCACCTTTTAGTGAATTTAGCTAGAATTGTTTAATAATGAAATGCTGTCATGGTGATCTAGAACCTAGTGCTTCACTTTTGAGTATAGTATACAATTATTTTTCTATCCTTATCCCAAGAAACTTTTGATTGCATTGATTATAAGTGAATTGTAATAAAAGTTAGTTGAGATAATAAAAATGAAAGAAACTTATACCCGGAATATGCATGTAAGGTGTTTGATAAAATCAAGGCAAATATATGTTTTTAGGATTGGGTGTGAAGAATCAATAACCAATATATGTTTCGATGGATGGTGAAGAATGTTGGCAGGCCGGCCAATTTTTTTTGTAAAATTCTGACATGTTTTCTAGAGTATTTCAACTAGCTCATATTGGTTATTGAGTCAACATTGCTAATTTTGTCCATTCTCATCTCTCTCTCTCTCTCTCTCTCTCTCTCTCTCACACACACACACACACACAAACGCACACGCACACACACTTATCCATAGACCTCTCTCAAATCCGGCATTGTTGTTTCTCGCAATGACTCCTCTCTCTTATTTGCCAATGCTGGTTAGTTCAGTTTTTTTCTTTTTGGATACAAAGTGCCTTCAGGCACGGCCACATATCTAGTAGTTTTATGTTCCTACATGTTTCATGTGCAATGAACATGGTGCATTGCTAGTACTAATGAATCTCACTAGAACAAGTTAAACAACTGTAATAACTTCATAATTCAATACATGTAACATGGAAATTAGCCTTACTTACCAAAAAAAAACCAAAGATTGACTGTAAAAGTAAAACCAAGACTCAAGCAACAATTTACCTTCTTTGCAACATAGGACTTGGTGTCACTCCACTTGGATTCAGCATGCAATGGTACAAAGGACCGCAAAGGAGAAGTCACAGAATTTGAGTCCTCATCAATAATTGAAGGCCTTTCTTCCACCGATAAGCTTAAACTACTATAGGGTGACTCATCAGTATCCCGATCAACATTGATATCAACACCAGCAACCATCTGACTACCTAGATCACTATTGCTTTCATTCAGAGCCTCAGACTTCTCTGAAGAATCATAAGTCGGCAAACCCATGAACCTAAGGTCAACAGGCAATGATTTGATCGACTGGAGGGAAGGGGAAGGTGCACCCTGAGCTTTTTGTAACATTATCTCAGAAGGGTGCAGTGAACAAGTCTCAGTTTTGGCGACCACAAAAATGGATGGATATAAAGTTCAATAATTAGATCAGAAAGCTAACTTTTTCTCCTTTCTCCGCCCAAAAGTGATATCAAACTTTAACAAAGGTCCCACGACTTATCTATTGGCCTAACTTAATGGAAGGGGAGCATGACATATACCAAACATACACACCATACTATAGTGCTCTTCCCTGATCAGTGGCCATCCAGAATTCTAACATCAAAACTAAGCCAATCACGATCCCAGAGCCTGAAACAGATATTAATCTCCGTCAAAACATCCAAAATGACGTATTTTCAGAGGCCCAGCACTCGGAAATGTAGCAGCAAACCAACAAATGACTGTAAATTCTATTTCTTTGACAGATCTTCACACTTCGGACCGATCTTAGGACGTAAAGTCACTAGACAATTCTTATTCAACAAACAAATCTATAGCCTCAAAGAAATAAAGAATGCGACAAGAAATACTGAATCCACCAAATCTCAGCCACGATCCACCAAAATCTCGGCAAAAACTTACCTTTTTCAGCTCCAAACAATCAAGTACTTCGAAAAATCTCCTATTGATAGATCTACTTCCACAATAAAATAGAGATCCAACTAGCAAAGCATAAAATTCAAAACTGGAAAGCAATTACGAAAAATAAGCTAAAATTCTTCAGAAAAAAAAAATGAAGCTGATGAAGTGGATGTGGATGGTGCGAAATTGAACCAAAAACCCTAAAAAGCTCAGAGGTTTATGAAGGAAGTAGACAGGTAGTGAGAGAAACACATACACACAGCGAGCTAGAGAAATGTAGTTCGCTTCCGTTTTACTCGGTCCTCGATGTCTGTGTGTGTGCGAGAGAGAGAGAGAATGGCCAGAATAATCAATAGAAAATCCAAGGCACGTGGAGACGGAACAGCCTTTGCTTTCCCAACTCTCTCCGTTCTTTGGACACAAACTCACAAAACGGTCTATTTCCTTTTTCCAATATGGAATTTGTAAGAGCAATGATCGATGTCTCAGCTAAAATTTTTACCAAATGTTTGGATCACAGATGATGTGTGATATTAATAGCTATTGAATAATTAGTAAGCGTTTATTGGCCTACTAATCTTATAATTTACATTGATTTAAGATTAAAAATTTGATTAAAAAAAATTAATGGATATAGCAGTGTTGAATTTTTAAGGATTAATAGGATTTTTGATCCCTAAAGTATGTAATTTTTTTTATCAACTTAGTCCTCATGGTATCAATTTTATTAATATGATCTCTAAATTATTCAATTTGTGTCAATTTAGTCCCAACATAGACGGATCGTCGAGTTTTTTTACTGAAGTAATCGTGTGTCATTTTTTTAAACGATATCAAGTGTCCAACACATGATTATTTCATTAAAAATTTAACAATCCGTCTATGTATGGACCAAAGTGACATGAATTTAATATTTTAGAAATCAAATTGACAAAATTGATACAATTAAGATTAAACTAACAAAAAAATATATATTTTAGGGACCAAAAATACTATTAACCCAATTTTTAAAAAACTGTTGCAGGCATGTTGTGTCTCTCGTGTCATTATGTCAACTTTTTTTTATAGTGTAAAAACAAATGAATAAAAAATTTAATTTGATATAGAGTATTCAGATAAATAACTCAAAATTCTAAACAAATACTTTTTAAAATTTTTTTGTTATCTCTAATTAGCACGATCCTTTTAAAAAAATAAACTACATAATCATAAATAAATTCAATTATTTAAGAACAATTAAGTTGAGTTTAGAATTTATAGAAAACCTTTAAGAAAATGTTAAATTTTATAGGTACATAAACATAACATCTCAAAAATCTTAACCATTTTAAATTAAAAATATATCATATCATGGTAAGAGTAACATGTGAGAACGTCCATCTATCTACTTATAGCACCTTCAATAGTGCTCTCTATTTTAAAGAGCATCTTTTCTAAATAGAGATCATCTTTAGTAAAAATTTATATGAGTAAATTTTTACACACTACTCCAATAAGACTTTCTATTCTTATCATTTTATATTTTGTTTTTGTTGCAATAAATTTAGCTTCCCTCCTATTTTTCCTCAATTATTTAAAATTAGATCCATTTATCCTAAATGTCTTGGAAGAAAAAACAAATATATCATTTTTTTGTTTAAAAAAAATAGAATAGAGAATCTAAATGAATAGTCTATTAGAAAAGAAGTTTTAAGGATTAACGCTCTATAAATAGTCTATTAGAGATTCTCTTAGGTTTATAATCCCAAAATCATTAAAAGAAGTACAACAGAAGTAAAACTAAATCTAACTAGGAAATGTCAAATTTCCCCTCACAACTCTTGTAACGCCCCAAAACCCACCTTAAACGGCATTACTATCTAAAATCATTCACATTATGAGAGCAACTAATAAAATTCATCAGTAAAAAAAATTGCATTCATCATATATAACATTTACAATATCATCCCGAAATAATATACCAAACATGACCCTTCTATTCAAAAGAATATGATGAACTATGGCAATTACATCTAACAGAATCAAATTTGAACTTTGCAGCGGAATAACAAAATGTTAGACTTTGCATAGTCTCAAAAGGAATTTCCTAGTCTATCACGTAGGAGAGTATAACCCTAAGCATCTACCTCGGGATCCACGTGTCCATCTAGTAGAACTTCTCAATGTACCGGTTCATCGACTCCGAGCTTCTTCTCTTGTACAAAATCTGAAAAATTTGTTATTTGTAGAGGGTGAGCACTAAGCTCTATAGCAACATCCTCCCAAACTCGAACAAGGATTTAGAAAAAAATTATAAAACAGCTTGGTCTTACTTTTCAAAATAGCATATATAACTTGAAATAAAACAGTGACAATTTATTTGATTTCAAGTTAACTCAATAGCAATAATTTAAATGAAAAGAATAAGCATGTCGGAGTGATAAAAATCAAATAATTATTCAATAATATCATCACATATTCTCATGTATATTGGTTGCTTCCCATGAATCTACATCACGATTTTACCTCGTTCACCCACCACAATCACACAATCCCAAACATTTTAGGAAGGGCGTTTACCATCTCTCACGACATTGACGAATTTTTCTTAGGAAGGGTATATCATCCCTCAACTTCGAACTTACGTAAACAATAATAGTTGTTCTCACAAACAACAAGCACTATAAGTGTTAGGAAACCATCTCACCCCCACTGGAATAGACTAACTTCTAACACTCTACGACAGTGCTCGAATGTAATTCAAGTCCATCACAACAACCATACAAGAGATGCAATAACAAACATTTTCTCAAATTACAAGAAAATCTAAAATTCTCAAATTTCACAATTTGTATTACAAGAGAACAATTTAAGAAAATAAGCAAAAGATCATCAACAATCCATTTTTATTGTTCATTACAAAGCACTAAAGTTTTGAAATCAAGAACAAGAGAAAAATTCATTTCTCTTGGAAACTAAGGTTTTATGACAAAAAAAAAAGTTTTCATGGTTATCTAACCCTAACTTTGTTTAAAACATTGTAATATTTGCAAAAATAACAAGAAATGATGATTTCATAGCATATATATATAAATGAGAGTGAAAACATACATATACATATAAGTCCTAGCCTCAATAGTCAAGAATGGAAGAAACCCTACCTTCTTCTTCCTTAGTGTTTTTAAAAAACTTGAAATTTTGATCTACTTCAAGGTGCAAATCCCTCTTGATCTTGTGTTTTATACCCTTCTTTCTTGTTTCTCAAAGCTTTCTAGGGTTGTAAATGGTGTATGGAGGCTAAAGGAGGTGCCCTTATGTATTTATAGGGTGAGAAGTGGCCTCTTGTGCGCGCTTTTGAAAGTCTGAATTCGTAACTTATGTTCGAACGTCCTTTGCTCCCAGTATTTTTGTTTTTTCATCAGACAAAAAGTACTGGAATGCACCGTCATTCGAACGGACTTTCACGTTCGAACGTAGGTCATTCGAACATCATTTCACGTTCGAAAGTACTTTCTATTTCTGATGAAATTTCTAGTGAAGTTTTAGCCTATTTAGAGGTCGATTTGGAATATTTTCATGAAATACACTTTTATAGCCCTAGAAGTCCACTATCATTTGTCAAAAGTTCAGATCAAATGAACATCAGAATAAAAAATTATGATCCAAATACTAGGCAGTGTCCAAAATCCTTTCTACCCAAATTTTGTCCAAAATGTGTTTTCACTCCGGAATACTTCCAAATTTCTACAACGCACCCTATTACCTCAACTAAAATTTTATATCTACTCTTACAATCCATCTAGTTCATGCATACATCATTACATATATTAGCATTTCAAAACATAATTACGTTGCTATATAAATAATAAAATGTGGGGGTTTACAACTCTCTAGAAAATAAAGAAAAGTCTTCATGTGGTCACTCGGTCTCCTCAGCTACCTTTCTTGTCTCCTAATCAGACATTTCTCAAACCTTCCCAAGATTTTGGCAAAGTAATACAATATACAGTAGTTAATAATCAACATAGAAATTTCATATACATATGTAAAAAATTGAAAATGTAACAGAAATCATGAGTATGCATGTCCTTTCCAAAATGGTATAAATGCACAAGCTCAACATTCATCAATATGAAGGCCTTGAAAATGCAACTTTGGGAGAGGTGGAAATTCGATATAGATCCTCCCTCACGATTATATACATGAAATTGATAGACACAACCTAGAGAGGGGATGAATATGTTTATTAAAAATTCTCACTTGAACACTCACCAAACTAAAATCTAAATCACCACAATTATCAATAAAAAAATTGATTTAGCAATTGAGAAAATGAACCATTTTGTTAATAACCCGATCATCCCGTCATGTGAATTCATATAGAGATTTAACAATTGATTAAAATACACTCAAATTCACCACGACTATGATCCCACACCCACAACCAATTGTTCACAAAACCGTTA